GCCAAGCTCGAGATCGGCGAAGAAGTCTTCCCAGTGGACTGCTTCTCCATCCCACTGGAGTGCTACAACATGGTCCTGGGGATCGCCTGGCTGCGGACCCTGGGGCCGATCCTGTGGGACTTTGAGGGTCTTCGCATGGCGTTCGTCCTCCGCAGCCGCCACGTCCTGTGGACGGGCATTGGCTCACCAAGTGCGGGCCGCGCCGAGCAGCTACTCTCCGGCCACATCTTCACCGACAAGGGGGCGGAGCCAGTCCTCCTGGACCGTCTCCTCAACACCTACGCCGACATGTTTGCGGAGCCCACAGGGCTCCCACCCACGCGCCCCTGTGATCATCGGATACACTTGAAGCCCGACACTGAACCCGTCGCCGTCCGCCCCTACAGGTATCCCCACCTCCAGAAGGATGAGCTGGAGAGGTAGTGCGAGGCAATGCTCCAGCAGGGGGTCATATGGGACAGCACTTCCCCCTTCTCTGCACCGGTATTGCTTGTCAAGAAGGAGGACGGGACTTGGCGCTTTTGTGTCGACTACAGGTCACTCAACGCCGTGACGGTGAAAGACAAGTTTCCGATCCCGGTCGTGAAGAGCTTCTGGACGAGCTCCATGGCGCCAAATTCTTCACCAAGTTGGACCTCCGTTCAGGTTACCACCAGGTCCACGTCAACCCCGCCGATGTGGAAAAGACGGCGTTACGGACACACCACGGCCACTTCGAGTTCTTGGTCCTGCCTTTCGGCTTGTCCAACGCGCCTTCGACGTTCTAGGCGCTCATGAACCTCGTCCTCAAGCCGTTCCTACGACGCAGCGTCCTCGTCTTCTTCGACGACATCCTCGTCTACAGTTCCACATGGACCGAGCACCTGCAGCATCTCCGTGCCATCCTGGACGTCCTCCGCGAGCACCGGCTGCATCTCAAGCGGTCCAAATGCTCTTTCGCTACCTCATCGGTCCACTACCTTGCCCATGTCATCATGGCTGAGGGGGTGGCCATGGACACGACCAAGGTGGCGGCTGTACAGTCGTGGCCGCAGCTGCGTTCAGCGCGCGGTCTTCGCGGTTTCCTCGGGCTAGCCGGCTACTACCGCCGGTTCATCAAAGACTACGGCACCATCGCCGCCCCATTGACGCAGCTCTTGCGGAAAGAGGGATTTCGGTGGTCAGACACCACCGACGCGGCATTTACGGCCCTCAAGGCCGCTCTGTGTGCGGCGCCAGTGCTCCATCTCCCGGACTTCAACGCCACGTTCGTCGTCGACTGCGACGCGTCGGGCTCCGGCTTCGGAGCCGTCCTTCATCAAGACGGGAATCCCATCGCGTTCTTTAGTCGGCCCTTTGTGGCTTGGCACCTCAAAGCGGCTGCGTACGAGCGCGGGCTCAACGGTCTTGTCCAAGCGGTCCGCCATTGGCGCCCTTATCTTTGGGGGAGCGCGTTCATCGTTCGGACTGATCACTACGCCCTCAAGTTCATGCTCGACCAGCGGCTTTCGACAATTCCACAACATCACTGGGTGAGCAAATTGTTCAGGTATGATTTCAGGATTGAGTACCGCCCCGGCAAGGCGAACGTTGTGGCCGATGCGCTGTCCCGCCGCGACGCCGACACCCCGCTCTTGGTGGGTCTCTGCGACACTGATGCGGCGTCCCTCGTGGCTCTCTCGACTCCGATGTTCCGGCTCTTCGATGACCTCCGCCAGGAGCTAGACACCGACGCCATGTTGCGCGCACGCCGCGACGCCATGGCCGCCGGTGCGCACGGGGCCTCCTAGACCGTCCACGAGGGGCTCATACTCCATGACGGACGCGTCTTCGTGCCTGCATCGTCCCCGCTCCTGGACGACGTCCTCCAGCTCGCCCACACAGGAGCCCACGAGGGCATCCAAAAGACTCTATGGCGGCTCCGTACCGAGTTCTCTACGTCGAGCATGATCGGCGCGTCGTCAGCGACTTCGTGCGTTCCTGCTCCACGTGCGAGCGGAACAAAACGGAGACGTTGCACCCCGCGGGACTACTGCAACCCTTACCGGTGCCCTCGCGAGTCTGGGCAGATATCTCCCTCGACTTTATTGAGGCGCTTCCCAAGGTCCACTGTAAAAGTGTTCTCCTAACCGTGGTTGACAGGTTTTCGAAGTATGCGCACTTCATTCCCTTGGGCCACCCCTACACGGCGTCGTCAGTGGCGCGAGCTTTCTTCTAGGACATCGTGCGCCTCCATGGATTTCCCGAGTCCATCGTCAGCGATTGTGACCCGGTGTTCACGGGGCATGTGTGGCGCGATCTTTTTCGCCACGCCGGCGTCCAGCTTCGGATGAGCACTGCGTTCCACCCACAGACGGACGGGCAGTCCGAAGCGGTGAACAAGGCCATAACCATGTACTTGAGATGTCTCACTGGTGACCGCCGTCGCGACTGGCTGGACTGGCTGCCGTGGGCGGAATTCTGTTACTACACCGCATATCACACGGCGCTTCAGACTACTCCGTTTCAGGTGGTCTACGGCCGTCCTCCGCCCGACCTGCTGTCGTATGTTCCAGGGGAGGTGCGCACGGAGGCTGTCGACACCATGTTGTCCAATCGGGATGAGTTCTTGGACGAGGTACGCGCTCGCCTCCTCGGTAGCAGAGTACGCTCGACGCTTCTCGACGCCAAGCACCGTGCCACTCGAGTTTGCCGTCGGGGATCGGGTATCGCTCCGCATGCTTCATCGACACACGCAGCCCCCTAGTCCCTGGCGGTCGCGCAAGTTGGGGCCCCAAGTATGCTGGCCCTTTCCGGTGATTGCGCGGGTGGGCGAGGTGGCCTCTACCGCTTCGCCTCTTCCGGGGGCGCCCGATTCACGACGCGTCTTCCATGTCGGGTGTTAAAGCCGCCTCCGTGGTACACCGCCGACGTCCGAGCATGTGCTTCCTCCACTTCACCACGGCCGGCCTCTCCAACGATCGGAACGCATATTGCGCTCTGAACTTCGTCGTGGCGTCTGGCACGTCCTCGTCGAGTGGTCTGGCATGCCTGCGTCCGAGGCAACGAGGGAGCCGGTTCCTGCATTCCGGGAAGCCCACCCTTCCTTCCGGCTCGCGGACGAGCTGTTTTCCGAGGGAGGGAGAGATGTTATGGTGGCGAAGACTTATGCAAGGCGCAACAACAGAAGGGCCTGAACCGGACCAGGGAGAGGTGGAACGTGGTCACCATCGGCTGTCGTATTCAGGCTCATCTAGAGTCCTAGCAGATTTGGGTTAGAGTCTTACAAGATTTGGTCCAGATTCATAGCAGGAGTCTGTTAGCGTCAAGAGTCGAGTTGGTTAACGTCCAGAGTCAAGTATCAGGGTCGAGTTGTAAGGACTATAAGAGTCCAACTTCATTAAGGAAACAATTAGCCTGGGATTGTGACTACAAGTCACCCTTGGGAGCCCGGCGTCTCCCTGTTCATCGTCATCTCTTGCCACCGCAATCACGGCTCCTGCCCGCCGAACCCTTGCACGCTCTCACGCTCCTCGATCTCCTCCGTACTTCCTTCGAAGTAAAGCCCGTCGCCATACCACCGCCTTCAAATCTTTGACGTTGAACGCTTGATATTTGTGATCCTTCACATAATGTGTGGCCACGGCTTCTTCATTTGTGATGACAAGGATACAACCTTTAGCCATAGCCTTGGATGATAAGAAGGTAGATTTTATGCATTTCCAGTCATTCATAGACTGCAGACCGTTAATAACCACGAGGTAGTCCTCTTTTTCAAACAGAAACTCAAGACACCACTGAATTAAGCTTGCCTCTCCCATCATGCCACCCTAAGTGATTTTACTGGCTCGAATGTCATCTGAATGAAAATTCAGGAATAAGCGCTGAGCAAAGATCTTCAAACTGAAGGGGTCAGGTACATCGACCCAGCTGTGTCGCTCAAATTCCACTTTACCAAGTTTTCCTATCCTGTTTCTTATGCCCATGCGCAACATACCAATGTGATCTGCTTTGAAGCAGCCGTTTATTATCACACTTATGACATCGTAATTGGTGGTAAAATTTGTCCATATCCTTTCGAGTCTGCAAGGAAGAAACCGATTTGATAAGTTTAGATGCAATCCAATTACAATACATAATTAGCATGTTTGTCAAACCATTCTCGTGTCCACCCCTGGTCCCATTTGGAACAAATAGTTTAATAAACTTAGATGATGAAACAATCAACAAAACTAACAAACTTACCTAGTCTATCCAATCAGCAATGCAAGTTAAACATCTTAAGCAAAGAAATAGTATGTGTTACCCTCAGATAGCTAGGTTGTATTACATTAAAGTCACAGCTAATCTAGCTATCTTAAGCTGGAACAAAGAAATAGATAATGAAAAGGGAGGAAAATCCATCAAATCCATTATTCCCTTTCAACGTATTGCTCTAGATGCATGTAGTACACATTTTCAAATTTTAAAAGCTAATGTTTGCAAGTTTATTTGAAATTCGATGCTAATGTATTTGTTCATGCCTATAGAAACTTCACATTTCAGACATATCAAACTTGCTTTGAACAGGGAAAATTAAATTAAATTAAGTAGATGAAAATCATATATTAAGAATTGTAACAGCAAATATAATTTCATCACAATACAATTTTGTCGGATTTAAATGTAAAAAGTAATCGTGGTAAAAATTATGTATTGAAGACCGTGCCAATGTCCAAAACAATGTGTGATTATTGGAATAGAGAATATAATAACAAGTATTTAAGAAGTTCCAAGATCCAGATTTCGCTTTTGAAAGAATTATTGGCATATGCATGTGACTACATGACTAGATGTATATCCACCTACCAAAGTCTGAACAAAGGATGAGGACAATAGACAACTCATCATAAACCGATGATATTATCGTACGAGTGCTAGATGTTCAGATCGAAATGTGACTATCAGAATTGATGGTCAAAGTAGGGTTGTATTACATTCGCAAGGAAAGAATACAATTCTAGCATTTAAATGTTGTAAGAAAAAACAATTCTAACTTAGGACTAGCTTGTGAGGCCCTCAACCGCTTGTGAGGCCCTCAACTCTGGGTATAGTGTCTTAAAAAGGACCTTCATATAAATGCAAGATGGCAATAAGCATAGGATCAGTAGATGTGATCATTTGCCTTGTCCCAACCAATACATATGTGCTGAATAAAAAGAGTAGGTGTGCATGCGATTATTATTCACTATAATTTGTCCAAGAATGAGCCGTATTGTGTCCTTTATGGGACGGAAGGAGTATTGTGTTATGCCGTTGATGCAGCAAACTCTGTAATTAAAGGACATATATAGATTATGGGGCTAGAGTACTCCTATATTGCTTCAGAATTTGTGGCTTACATTGTTTTTGAAGAAGGCAGAAAGGAATTGGTTATTACCATGGAACTTTGTGAGCTCCGATACTTGGTATGGCTCCCCTGCGCACAGAAGGGCAATCCCTAACTGTGGCGTCGACATGACTATCCGGCTACCGTTCTTACTGTCCGGCAGGTACATTCTGATCACATTCCACTGTGCCACCGCCACTACATTTTCCAAGACAACGAGATACCTTTGCTCACTCATTTTCTGCATGAGTTTAGGTAGTTTGTCTTCTTCCGTAACCTCTGGTTTCATCCTTGTCCAGAAATCCACACCAGCATTTGCTTGGTGAGAGGAGCTCGCATAGAATTGAGCCAGCAAGCTCTTGGCAAACTCATCCTGATTGAAGGGATGCATCAACTTCACCCAGGCGCGGCTTTTGAAATTTTCACAGATTTTTGGGTCCCAATAGGCCTCGGTAAGGATGGATGCAGTGCTAAGATCATCACCTACTGTACTTCCCCATACTGAGATAACTTGAGGGCCATCATCTACGCTGGTGATCAGCTCTTGGAGGTTGCACGTGTTCCCGCGCCACTTGCCAGTATCCTTCCACGCATCACCTAGGATGTGGAACGCCGACGCTGAGGATGGATAGGTGGTGGCATCCGGCGGCTGCTCTGCCAGCGGCGGCATGACAGCAGTGACTGCAGGCTGCTGCTTATTGTTGTTGTTGTTGGAGTCGTGGAGGTTGTAGCGTGTACTTCTCTGGCTTACATACTCGACCCTGTCCTTGAGCTGCTTTATCTCGGCCACCGCGGCATCCAGGGGCAGCGGTGGCGCGCGGCAGTTTACCATTTGCCACAAATGCCGCAGCCACCCCCAGTGCAAGGACTTGTCAAGGTCAAGGTGGACGACGTTCTCGACACAGTCCTCGAAGTCGAAGGGCAGGTTGCGGAGCTGCCTCACCCAGGTCAGCACCACCTGGTCGTCATTCTTGTTGCTGTTGGCGACGCGGAGGAAGGACTGCATCATCTCGAACTCGCCGGAGATAAACACCAGGTCGTTCTGTACCTTCTCCCTGAGCTTCTTCTCGTCCTCCACTGCCGACTTGACCAAGCTCAACGTCCCCTCCACCGCCGTCTTGGTCAACCCAAGAGAGAACTCCGCCATTGTTGCGTTGCTCGCTAGCTAGCTCAGTAGCCTCACTTGCTTCTCTTGTTGTGTTTGTGTTTGTGGCGAGATATGATCGATGGAGACCATTGCATGTGCTAGCTACCCCAGTTCAAAAGACCGACAATAATTGAATGAATGTGGACCAATCGAGCTTGCGACAGCGTATTGAATCTGCCAGCTCAGCTCAATCACCAAGAAATTGAATGAATGTGGACCAGGAGAGTAGTGAGTCAGAAAAGTCACAGTTATGTTTTCGCAAACTGTAACTGTACAGAACTACTGTACACTATTTAAGGGACCGAGAGGAGGTAGTGACCACCTTGCTTGCCTGGCACTGTGGAGTGGCTCCGGCTCCAGCTCCTGAAGAAGGCATATCAAACACAACCGCAGAAAACGGCTTCACCGGAGGAGCAGCCGGAGCCCTTTTGCACTAAGAAGACGGAGCCACGAATCGTAGCATCTCGCGGCTTTTCTCTCCTCGCGGAGGCGACGCCGGCGCGGCGCTTCACCATTGGAGCGAAGCATGCGGGCGGCGGTTCGGGCAACGGCGCAGCGCGGGAGAGCGGTGGCGTGGCCGCGTGGGAGACGGCGAGCAGCAGTGTCAGCGCCGATGCGAGCGCACCATGGGGCGGCGGCGGCGGCCTGCGCACAGAAGGGTTTAGCGGTGGCTGCCTCGACGGAAGGGAGAGGAGACTAGGAGCAAGAGAGGGAGCGCTGCAGGCCGTGGGCCTTGGCCCAAAACGTTTTGTGATCTAATCTACAGTACCTCCATTTCCTTAAGAAGTCTCAAAAAAAATTCTTCCTTAAGAAAATATTAAAATATGGTTTACTTTAATCATGACCAATAGTATACGATTTAATTGGGGCAAGATTGCCAATTACTATGTAAGAATTGTTATTATACAACAAGTCAAATAATTAGGGGCACTCTGGACATTTAGGGTATGTTTGGAACGCAGGAATTTCACAGGAATCGTGCAGAAATTTTAATCTCATAGAAAAACACCGAAAATTTTCCCGTGTTAACAGGTCGTTAATATCTTCTGTACATTAAAAAATTAGGAAAAAACCACTTTGCCAAACGTTTTTCAGGACACCTATAGCTTGTTTTTTTTTTTTTTTGAGAAACCACTTCTTCAGAGGAGCCAGAGCTGAAACTGTTTTTGAAGAGCCAGAGGCTGCTAACAAACTCGTTGAGATGAATGGTGCTCTACCTATTAATTGGCGGCTTGGAGTTGTAACTTGTATCTCACCGCCAGAAATAATTCACAGATCCTCGTGTGAACAAGGATGACTGGCAATTTTAAGCACGCGGCGCAGATAAATTGACAATAAAATGGTGTGAACGTGGCTAGCTCTTAGTGAGTTGCACGCGATGCCACATGCGACCAAACCAGCGAGGCAGCGACAGTGAATGCACCTGCCAAATGGAAGACATAGTGCTACAGTAGTACAGAGAGAGTGGCAAGACAACGTGGCCGCCATCTTGATGATGGAACAAAAACAAAGTAGATGCAAAACGGGGACTCAAAGTCCTGTGTGAACGATGGATCCCCCGAAGTCCTCTCTCTAGTACAGTTTCACACTTCCACTCGCACCACATCTGCAGACAGCAGTTCTGCAAGAACCGAAAGATTTTACTGTTTCTTGCCACGGTGAAGAACTGAAGGATGTGGTCGATGTCTAACTTTTGATGTAGATTGCAATTACCACATTGTACATGTTCCAACTTGCTGGCTTTTTCTTATAATGCAACCATACAACTTCTCGCTGAACCGACTTAATTGCCTCACAATATATTGCAGTAAGTAGTAACCCATAACCAGATTCTGACTTCTCAGCCACATTGTCTGTCTGTACAGAGCTCAGAAAATTTTGGAGAAACTGAAAAACGCTACGCCATGGAAGAAAAAACACTCTGAGAGTTTCTCAACCCAACGGGTTGACTCGCATCTTGCACATGTACTTGTACAATACAAGGTATAAAGAATGTTTATAAGCAGCAGCAGCAGCAGCATCCCACCAAACACATGTTCCCAGCCTAGGTACAAAATTAAACACAAAGCAAACACACAAGCAAAGCCCTGTCCCATCCCTTTCCTTCACTTCCCATTCCCGTCCCCAGGTGTGGAGGAGCAGAGGCCCATGCCAAAAAAATTTGTCTTGCCCCTGTACGTGTGTATATATCTGCAGTAAGGTGCACAAGCGCATGACCTCTATAATACAATACCTGCATCCTGTCAAAACGCGCTCCATGTGTCCGTCCCATGTTTCGTCGGGCTGCTGCTCGTGGTCTCTGTCGATTTAAACGGCCCAGTTCCAAAGGGGTCCTCATCATCGAATGAGTAGCCCCGGCTGTTGTAGTCACTGCTCTTCATTGAATCAAACCTCGCAAACGGGTCACCTCTGTCATGGTCGCTGCTGCTGTTCATGGAATCATACCTCATGAAGCTGTTGCCCCCACCCTGATCTGAAGTGCTGCGGAAAGAATCGAACCTTGCAAAGGTGTCATTGCCACTGTTGTCAGCATTGCTCGTGAAGGAATCGAATCTCGAGAAGCTGTCGCGCTGTCCAAAGGAATTGTTCTCGTGCATGCCAAATGAGCTGTATTGGGACATGGTGTCGAATGAATCTTCTCCTGCTTCGCTATACCTTGGCGTGTAGCTTGAGTTGTACATTGGGGTACTCGGGACTGAAGAATCAAAGAATCCCTTTTGCTCTTTGCCATACATGCTGCCGGCAGTAGGAGATTCTGCTCTGCTTGGCCCAGAATCAAACAGTGATCTCTGCATTGGAGTGCTTGGAAAAGAGTCGAAGAATGGTTTCTGCGTCGGCGTGCTCGGAACAGAATCAAAAACAGATCTCTGCATTGGAGTACTCGGAACAGAATCAAATACTGATCTCTGAACCGGTGTACCAGGAATGGAATCAAAGAGTGACTTCTGCATCGGCGTGCTTGGGACAGAATAATCAAAGCTTGAGTTCTGCATCGGCGTGCTAGGGGCAGAGTAATCAAAGACGGATTTCTGAACTGGTGTGCCTGGGATGGAATCAAAGAGGGATTTCTGAACTGGCGTGCCTGGGATGGAATCAAAGAAAGGTTTCTCCATTGGAGTACCAGGAACAGAATCAAAGAACGGCTTCTGTTCCTTGACAAATGAACTACCAGATGAGGAACCTCCGGTTCTTATCGGGGGAAGACCTTGTGGCCCAAAGAAGAGATCTGAATCACCATTCTCACCATCCTGAGAAACAAATCACAGAGGTAAGTGCTAGATAGTAGAGTATGAATACAACATAACAGTATGACACGACGCAAGAAAGAATGAACAGAGTCCAACCTTATGACCAAAGTTCCATAGAGAGTCATTATCCATGCCATGATCAAAAGATGGGCCCCATGAGTGTCCATCATGGGTTTTATCTCCATGAGTAGGGGAATCCATTGCTCCACGGTTGCTACAAAATTCACCAGTGCAATTAGGAATATAGCTTAATAAAAACAAAATACTAATAAATACTGTCAAACTGAGAGGGGTCAATAATTCAACACAATTGGTGTCCTTCAAGCTTCCCTTCCAACAAAAAAAGTTATGCTATATTTCCAGCATGCAAGAAGCATGTTTCACATAAAACGTTCAGGAACCAAATTTCCTATACAATAGAGACTAACAATATATTGCGCTGTCAGAAGCCTGGCTTATAGGAGAAGCCAATGGCCTATAGAGTTTAAGCTACATGCGAGGTCATGCCTCGACGTGTAATATTTTGTCACCAAAAGAATTGATAAAGAAGATTAGCTGCAAGAGGTTACGGTTATATTGAAACTAAATGTTATTCACAAACAATGTTTCTTTTTCTCTAGCAAGCCACATGTATCTATCTATCATATAAAAAGAAAAGCAGAATCTATACCTGATACTCTCAGTGGCACGTGGTGAGACGTCATTTGTTCCAGATTGCTTTTTATCACGTTCATCAGAACCATCCTCTTTGTTCTTGACAGGGCTAACTGGAGGGCTTTTTGCTGACTCTGGTTTGATATTCGATGGTGTTGTTTCAGGTTCCACTGCCTGCTCCGCAGCAGCAGCAGATTTGTCACCCTTGTTGTCTTCTTTTTCTGTTGATGCCCCATTTATAGATGCTTTAACATCTTCAGTAGGCTGACTCTTTGGTGCAATGGGAGGCTCCACTTCAACTGTTAGTTCTTTTATTATAGAGAATCCTGGAAAAATGCAAGCGGAGCAGCATATATAGTTTAATATGCAAATGGTCAACATAAACACGCATTGAATAATGAACATGGTGGTACAATCAAGATTGAAGTTAGCGTACCCTCGTCTCCAAATCTATCCCATTCTTCATCCCATGCATAAGCTGTCTCTTGAATTCCAGGTTGCCAACCTAAAAAACAAAAAAAAGGCAAAGAGCAGGATCTCATTAAGCAACTGGGAATTGGGATAGATGAAGCCCTGAAACAAATTAGATGTTGCAATGAACAGTGCATGGACTATCTGATACAAAGAAAATTAGCAAGAGCTAGTTAAGATTGTTTTCATGAACATAGATATCATGATGCAAGTAAACATAATTTAAGATTGATTTTAGTATTTCATTAGCTCATAGAAACGCAACCAAAACAAGCAAATGTTGGATAAAAGTGAAGAAACAAATAGGATAGTAACAAGTACCAAAAGGAAGCTCCACTAAAGTAGTTGGCTTAGCTCTCAACCCATATCTCTTGCATTGCTCATTCAAAGATTTCACAAGCTCCTCAAGATCTGACTGTATCTTATTAGCCCGCTCCTATAAACAGAGGGCAAAGGAGATCAGACAACAGATGTAAAGCATGATGCAATGAAAGATATTGGATGAACAAAAAAATACAAACCTGAAGCTTCTCATCACTTTCATCCCCTTTTTGCAGCTTAACTATGGCGTTATAAATTTCCAACTTCTTCTCCTGCAAACATACAAAATAATAATAATATGGTCACAGCCAGATCTCGAGGATGAAGTTGCCAGCATTCTAATAGAATCACAAATATACCTGGATCTCACGGAAAGTAGCCTCATCCATTGTTAGCTTTGATGCCACATCTCCAACCTTCTTGCATCTCTCATCATATTTTGCAGAAAGGGATTGGACCTGAATATAGAATTGATAGCTGTGAGATTCATATAAAACAGCATTAGAACAAAGAGTGGCCACTCTTACATGCCATCATACAAGGGACTTCATAGGACATTAGTCAAATTGTAACACAAATTATAATGCCCAAAAGTCTTCTTCTAGCTTCTACTAAAGTAATATATGATATGATTCCACTAAAGATGGTCTCATGAGATCTAAAGACTTGTACTTATTCCAGGAGCATGTAACAACAGGAAGCTTGTACAAATGAAGTAAAAACGGTATGAGATACTAGAGATTATTTTCATCAAACTTTTCTGCTTCTGCCAGCACTTCATAAACCACCAGGATCTTCTACAAACGATAATTACCCAAAAAAGGTAGGAAATAGAATCAGAGAGCTCAACTAATCAAAGATTACAGAAGGAAAATTACCTCACGTTTATCAGCAGACATACTTTCTGAGACTTCATTAAACCTGTTCTCGCACCTACTTTTGTAGAGAATCTAGGACAATATAACGAAAATAAGTCAGGCATGAATACATTAAATTAGGACACAAATATCGCTCATTAGCTCATGTTAAACTATGCACTATAGCCCAGCACTTTATATATATGTTAAATCATCTTTGTATATGCCTCTCGTTGGGTTTCATCTGTAGACTCCAACTAAATCGGCACAAATGTTTTTTTTTTTTTTGTCAAGTTAGTACAAAATGGTTAGGCAGCTAGGGCTGGTTAACAGATGAAACATGACAGCAGAGGTTGAATGAAAATGCTATAAAGGAAACTGAAACTAGCACAGTAAAGACTGAATCAAATACATGTTTGCATTTATAGTAAGACATATTGCCAGAGAATACTTACAAGCTCCTGCATCTTCGTGCGATAAAACTCGGTCTTCTCTCTAGAATCAAGGATCTCCTTCTCCAACTCTTGGACCTTCATAGAAGATTCAGAATATCATGTTATAATAACATGAGTAAAATTGTATGAAGTCGCTCACAACCTTGAGTTCCGCTCATCAACACAATCTATAGAGATCAAACACCGCTACCATTTCAATTTGACATTTGAAATATGGATTGGAATATGTAAACAATGTTCTGAACATTAGTTTGTGTACTAAAGAATTCTATCGTGTTCTAGTTTTCACATTTTTAAACATTTTATGCAAATGGGAAATTCAAGAAATACAATCGTGTGACACATGAGCATTTTGAAAGATTTGCTGCCATACTGGTACAACAGAAATGATAGCTTCTTATGTATTAGTTTAGCCATATATTTTTTGTCAACTATGAATAGAAACAACACTAGACCAGTTGAGCAAAATTGCTTCAAATATATTTGGACCATTTACAACTATATGCCCAAACTTTGATCTCAAGCTGCATGTTTGGGGCAAAATGGAGTAAGGTCAAAGTGAAGACAGTAATCAAATGTCCAATATATGTACTATTTCCGTCTGCTCTACGAATCTTAAGACATTAAGGCTCTTGAAAGTTGAAACAATACAAGAGAGGAATATACTTTCTTATCAGCGTCTGAAGCTTCCTTAAACTTTGCATCCAGTGTATCTTGTTCCTCCTTGCTCAGCTGGCCAACTAGATGTTCCTCCAAGACAGGAACCTTTGGCTTTTGTTGCTCTGCCTTAACAGTATCATCAACATCTAAAGGAAGAGGCCTTCGAGATGGTGGCTTCATTGATGAGGGAAGCATCCCATGATGTGGTCCTTGCATTGTTCTACTTGCGTATCCTTCAACAAGTGTTCAGTAAAAACATCATTGACAAGTTACTTCCTTAGAAGTCAGTAATAAAAAAATAACAGAGAAGTTTCTTTTAGATGAATACCTGCACTTGCTTGAGGAGCAGGGGCACTAGGATTTTCGGGCAAACTGGCCAGTAGAGGGTAGTGCGGTGCCCTCAGCCCAAATAGCATCCGTTACTGTGTCAGGAAGAGGACGATGCTCTCGGTGTCTCTCCATTAAGTACACAGCAATACAAAATTCCTTGAAAGATAGCATCCCATCCTTATCCTGGTCGGACAAATCCCACACCTTCCTTAAGATATCTGTAGGTGGAGAGGCAGATTTTTTTTAGGAACTTTTGAAGCAAGAGATGAGAAGAATAGGAACTCGATTTCAGAGGAAATTTGAAACAGAAATACTTCACGTAGAGGAACAAGATAGTAAATACGTAACACTTCAGGGCAACTTTGCCATTGATAAGACAAGAAGTTGTAAATTGAAATAAGGAATATCATAGCATTGTGGTAATGCTCCGAGACACTTGATTCCCAAAAATATAATTCCCAGCAAATATAAAACATGGACCCAACAATATGAGGAACAATATGTGAACTCAATGTGATGCTAGGAAAGAGAAAAATAACTGAGCAACAATGTATACATGTATTGACACAAGTAGTAACATGCAACCAGTTCGGAATGAATTTGGCATCCACAAAAACTAAGGATACATCTAACAAATCATCTAAAATACATGTTTCGCAGCAAAAGAACAATGGTATGGGGGAAACTACAGACAATAAACGGCCATCTAAAACTAGCAATTCTTATTTCACAAGTGTATTGATGTGTCTGCAGGTTAAACAATACTTCAATTACTGATACGTAATTTGTAGAATCATCAACAGGACAAAAATATAGCGCGCAAGGGCTATGAATTATGGTATCTAGAACAGGAAGAGTAAATATAAAGAGACGTGATGTACCTCTTGGCAGCCTCCAACTTAAAAATAGATTCCTTGCCTCTTCACCAGTGATTTTCCCATCACGATCCCTATCTACCTTGATAAATACAATCATATATTTTCTGACATCTACTTGAGTGATTTTCGGCCATGGGGCCTGAGATTGGCTTGGGTTTGAAGGAATTTGTCCACTGGGAATATTTGAACTCACTGGTCCTGGAGCATTTGGTGTAGCATTAAATTGTTGTTGCCTCGGAGCTGGCTGACTGTGTGGCAACTGGCTAGTATTAGAAGAAAGGGATGATATACCCTGCACAGGACCAGCCTGTATTGGCTTAGGAGGGTGATGATGTCCAGCAGATGAGGCAGGAGGTGTAGAGCTCGGCAGATTATTTGGAACATTGGGGGGCAAAGGTGAACCCTGTTTCGGTTGTGAAGTTGCAGAGAAAGGGTCAGCACCAAAAGTTGAGTTCGATGACAATCCATTACCCAAGGGCACCAACGCCTTGGAGTCATTAACTGATGGTTGGGAAGACATCACGTTCAAATTTGTCAAATTTGCATTGACAGGTGTTGTAGCACCTGGCGTATGAGAATTGTAGCCCGGTACAGGAGTTGAATGCTGCGCTGAGATCCCCGCACTGCTAAGGTTGGCCTGCGGAGAAATACCTCTGGTTGGAGCTTGTGAAGTTGCACCCAACGGACTTGCACTTCTCTTACCACTGAACCAATCAGTAGCTAGACTTGATGTGGTTGAACTAGTATGGTTTATCCCAGTAGGACCACTTCCCATGGGTGGCCTTGAAGCAACTCCCTGACCATGAGCAGGAGGCACAGTGTTTGCATTTGGAGGTTGTGGCGGCCTGACTTGTGGATTTGGCGATGCACCAGGAAGCCCTTGTGTACCTCTTATGGCAGGATTCTGTTGAACAGGACCTGGTGCAGGACTCTGTTGAACAGGACGTGGTGCTTGAGTGGCATTCGGGAGGCTAGCTACGCTATTTGTCTGAGGAGCAGGTGTAGAAACATTTATCCGAGGAGCAGGGATTTTCACAGCAGCTGGTCCAAATAATGCTGATTTAACAATATCAGGTGTCAATTCTCGGCCGCTCTGAGCTACTGTGACGAGTTTGAGTGAATTGAAGAAGTCTTCGCGCCCAAGAAAACCAGACCGATTTCTATCAGCATACGTCCAAATCTGAACCAGAGAAGAGAAAAAAATACTAAGCCATGAGTGGAAGTAAATAGAAATGAAGTGTACGGTTCAATAGTGTTTGAATTACTAATAGTAATAACAGCATTCCAATAGGTTGCATTTTGCAAAAAAAAAATAATAATAATAATATTGTGACTGATTGCAGAGTTGATTTGGATAGCAGAAGTGAAATGTGCAGTTCTGCTAAGGTCCAAAGAACGGGCTTGTGGCCATTCCTCCAACTAACACACGAAATGTGCTAAATATTTAATATAAATGAGAAAAAAAGGTCCACAGTTTTGGAACAGCAATTCACTAAAGTAATCTTGTACTTCCGCTCAGATTGGATCCCAAGACCATCTCAGGCTCGTGCCACACAAATGGAAAGCCCCAATCTGGGGCCTAAACCTCGGTTCTCAACACTTGCTAATGAGCAAGCAAGCACAATCGTAGAAACCCCAATCGATGTTCCAAGCTTAAATGAGTCGGTTAGCCAACCATGGTATACATACAGGAACAGAACAAGCTAATTGCGAGCTATAGTGCGTAATTACACAGCTAGATCAAGGCAGGAGCAGCAGCAGACGTCTAAGCATGTGAACACGAAGCACTGAAAAGCAACTAAAGTTGATTCCACTCGAGCGGTGTGAAAGGAAGGGCTAGAACACAGCGACATCCACCCCCATAAACCACAATGAGCAACGCAGGCTCCAAATCTCGGCTCCCGTAGCCCACGGGAGCTCGGAGTTCCGGCCGAGCAACTAGCCTGCACCGACCAGGCACCCCGCGATTCGAACCACACGGGGTGGCTGGACTGCGCAGATCGCCGGGGCAGGCGCGGCGCTGGTGAGGGGAGGGGAGGGGAGATCTGAGGGTCACCTGTGCGAGGACAGGCTGGGGCAGGCCGGAGCCCTTGAAGAAGGCGACGGCCTCCTGGCCGCTGATGCGGCCGTCGCGGTCCAGATCCGCGGCGCGGAAGTAGGCGTCGAAGGCCGCCTCCATCGCCCCCCGGGCGGAGGACGTGGGCGGGCGGCTGGGGGTAGGGAGGGTGGTGGGTGTCGCCGGCGGCGAGGGACACCGGCCGGCGAGATCGGCGGGGGAGTGTGTGCTGGTGCTGCGCGCGGGTGGGGCGGCGTGCGGTGCCTCCGACTCCGATTGTTGCCTTGTGCCCGTCCCGTCCCGTCCGGAAATGTGTTGGCCTTCGATGGAAACCCCTCTCGCTCAGGGGCCTTTCTGTAAAACTGCCCGTACTAGTTAGCAGTGATGATGACGATGATATGGGGGTTAGGATTTAACGACAGAGTTAAGTGTAAAAAGGTTAATCTTCGGGGTGGTTGTGGGACAATGTACCCCAGTTGACAGTTGTTGTACAACGAACTGTAGTAGTAGTGGGCAGGAGGAAGAGCTTCACCTAATCACCACACACAAATTTACAACGGTTATTAAGCTACCATTGCATGTAGCTGTTCGACTAATTTGAATTCCACAAAGAACCATCGCCCTGTTCGAGCAATTTGAATTCCACAAAGAACCATCGTCCTGTTCATTTGGACTTGTTTAGCTTATAAACTATGACTGAAAGTACTATAGGCTGGTTTGGTGTGAGAAAAAAATATTGTTCGTTGGCTGATAAGTCATGGCTTATAAGCCAAATACGACTGAGCGAACATATATTTCCTAGCGACAAAAGATAGCATGGGATGAGGTGACGAACACCATCCATGTGGTTTTCGAAACACACTTTGGTGGCATTCTTTGAATAGCATATATTTATGACGATTTCTGGTTCAATTTATATACTCCTTCTCATCTTAATAATTTTTTCAAAGCCTTGAGAGCTCACAAGTGCCACCGCACCACCTTACCATGTGTCGCATCTTTTCATAAGTTAAATAAGTGGAGGCATCAAGGTAACGATAAAAAATGGGCTTTTTCAAAACTATGTCTTTTTACAATTGTATCGTGTTTGCACTAAGAAACGAAGCATGCATTACCTAGAAGCCATTGCTCTGTTCGCTTGACTGATAAGCCATGACTGAAAGTATTGTTGATTGATTTATTACGAAAGAAAAATACTGTTCGTTGACTGAAAAAATATGGCTTATAAGTCAAGCGAACAGGACGCATGTTAGCTGAGGCATCCATGTGTGTGCGCGCGCGCATGCATAGTAATCAAGCTTGAAAAGAATAAGATATATAGGGCATGTTCGTTTGTTCGTGTTTGGCTTTATAAGTCATGGCTGAAAGTATTGTTGGCTGATTTAGTATGAGAAAAAAATATTGTTCGTTGGCTAAAAACAAGCCAAAAACAAGTCAAACAAGCCCAAACGAACAGAGCTATAAATAGTTGCAAAGTTTTAGAACATGTTTTGGGTCTATCCTAAGGTTGCCACAACTAAGTTAGTTGTTGCCACGACTTAGTCAACCCAACTTCTGAGTCATTTGACCCATTTATCATAGACTCAACATTTTTGTCGAACTTTTCTGAATCATGATCTAGACACAGACACTTATAAAAAAAGATTGAGCCCATAGATCTCGAGGTTGGTGAATTCGTCATAGGCTCTCATTGCTGTCGATGGACTCACATGTCGTCCAGCACTAAAGAATAACGTCATTAAATTATGAAATAAATTCAAAAAAAATGTGAGGACGGCTTATGCCAAGTCAAAGATTTAAACTGAGTGACTAGGTCACATCAAAGAAGTCCAACCAGCTGAGTTATGGTTATAACTTTAGGTGGTGATTTTTCTTGCCACAAAAATGTGGTGAGGTCTTTTTTCGCGATCGGACCATTCACCCGTATTCCATTAAGAGAAAAAGTTTCAAACAACAACTTGAGACAGACTTGATGGCGAGGCTGACCAAAGCGGATAGACAGCGGAGAGCGTCTTGAACCCAGCGTGCACCCAAACATCGGCCTCTCGGATCACCTTGAGGTACAGCTCCTGAACACCGGAAGCTGTCCGCGACAGAACACAAGCGACCAGCAGTACATCAATCTTAGTCTCGACAAGACAAGTGACAGAGGCGCGTTCCTGCAGCAAGAACTCGCGCACGACATCACGGTGCGCCTGCGAGTTAAGGCCACGCACGTTCCAGATGAAGATATTATGTCCTAACATGGAGAACAGACTAGAGCGACCAGGGCTGAGACTTAGGCGGCGCTATCGTACCCCAAGGCCCGCTGCTTCCTACCCGGTAAAAGAACCTACATGGCTTCCCTCGTGGACTCGGACAGCAGTGTGGTGAAGGCGGTCTGGAACTCATCAAACGATGCTTCACCGGGGCGTGTCGATCTGGACGCCGAGACGCTTCATCATCACCTTGCGTGCTTGCGCCTCCGGCCTTGTTCCCTGTGCTTACTCTTCGCCGCAAGCCTTGCGCTCCTCTTGGGGATCAGCTCTTCATCGCTGGGCTCCCGTGCCGCCTCCTTGTTGGACCGAGTCTGCCGTAGGCGCGGTGGCGACAGGATCACCGTAGGCTCCAGGTTCTTTTTGAAGGTGGAGATGAAGTCAGCAACCGACATGGAGACCGGCTCAGCATCCCTGGTGTGGACATCAACGTGCATCCTCATGTAGTCGATGGCTGGATCGTCCGCGGGCAGAACTACCCTGCGGCACTGCAGCAGCCTCGTGGAGCAAAGAAGGGGTCATGGCAGCAGTATTGTCCGGCACAAAGTCGTTGTCATCCGTGGGACAGTTCCCACCATGCGTTGACTGGGCCGGCCCAGGCGAGGAATGCCCATACACACAGTCTTCTGGGCCCGAGAGGCAGAGGTCGATAGCGAGATCCGTCAAAATGTGGTGAGGTCATTAACCTTTAGTAGGCTTACATAGTAAAAAAAAGTGACAAATATAGTTGTGCACCAAACATTGTCCAGTTCGTTTGGCTGATAAGCCATGACTGAAAGTACTGTTAGCTAATTTATTGTGAGAGAAAAATACTATTCATTAGCTGAAAAAGTACGACTTATAAGTTAAGTGAACGAGACGCATGCCCTTAATTCAGCTGGTTCGGACGGGCTCGCTGCAATGGTGGTAGGACTGCTACTACAGCAAGAATGCATCCTGTGCCGTTCATGTAATAACTAACAGCTCGTTCGGGAGGCCGTATCGTATCGTGGATTATTTACTGTTGGCTGGTTTGGTGTGAGAGAAAAACACTATTCTTGGCTGGAAATTTACGATCGTTTACGAGCAAACGAACAGGTTGTAAGAAATATGGCAGCCGCAGCAGCATGAATTCCCATGTGACCCACTGTACAGAGTTGTTGTTTGCTGCAGGCCACGTGCACATACATACTAGAGTATACAGCATTGTAGCAGCAAACAGCCTCTTTGCTGATTGGTTTTTAGGCAAATAAGCTCAGCTGATACTGATGTGTTATGAGAGAAAAACATTATTAGTTGATTGATAAGTCTTGACTAAAACCAATAAATGAACATGCCTGGAGCACAGAAGGAACGGCTGTGCACGCAACAACCACCGTTTCACAAGTCTTTCGAAAAGAATAGAAAAGAAAAGCAGATATCAACGGCGTTTGTCCACAGAAACAGCACACGATTGTGACGTTTTTTTTTGGTCATAATATACGATGATGCATCTCGCGTTTCAATGTAGTACATCGTCGTCGGACACGAGTACATGTTAGAAAGTAGGCAAGTGGGCAACTTAAAACCTGCAGTGCTGGGCCTAAGAACATTTGTCAACCCATCCATGAAGAACGTCACTAGCTTGCATTGGCTTAAACAGTTAAACACATCCAGTAGTTTTTTTTTTATTACTATGATATGACGAAGCAAGTAGCTAGTGGTTGGTTTATGTGACAATCCTAGACGTACCGTACGTACTAAATTTATGTTTTTTATTCAATTTGATATATATAAAAGTTAGTGCAACCCCATTCGCTTGTCTTAAAAATGGTTTGTTCGGCTTCTTTTTTTTAGTCGAAATAGTGTTTTTCTCTCACAACAATTCAGCCGGAACAGTGTTTTTCAACCACTTTCAGTCAAATTTCAGACCAGCAAACGAGGCTATAGATCGGTCATATATTATTGCTCCAGTATCCCACGTCTTATCGATGCTCGACTCCACTTCACTGGCTTGTTCATGGGTAATACTCACACTAATGCAGCTAGCTTGTTTAAAAAAATTCAAAAGTTTGTTCCAAGATATATGTTGTTTTATTGAGGCCATGTTCGCTTGAACTTATTAGCCGTACCGTTTCTGCGAAATAACAGTGTTTTTCTCCTACAACAAATTAGCATCAGCATCAGAATCAACCGTTTTTCCAGCCAGCCGAACAGAGTGTCTCGTCCTAAGTTATAATTATATATGTTCGATAAGATTTATGGAGCTATTAGTAAAAATATTAACACATACAATACCAAACAAATTCGCTACAAAGACTTATTTCATGGTTGATTTAATGAAACTAGTTTAAAATATGTGATCATGAACCAAGGAGATTTGGTTTTGGATCGGAGCACCGACAGACATACAGCTCTTTCTGCATTTCTTTTCTTTTCTTTTCTTTCTTTCTTTCTTTCTTTATTTCTTTTGCTGTAGAGGCAAGTCAACCAATTAGAAGGGAGGGAGGGCGTGTGTGTTTGGTGCAGCATTACATCACCCACCTGAATGGACCTCTTGCTGTGTGGACAGAGAAAAAGATAAGCTAAGCTACCTACCTAATAATAGTAATATAAGCTGCCAGCCTGGCATGAAATTTCATCACCTCTCACAGTCTCACCCATCGGATACCACCAACAACAAATTACAAAGGCAGTGCAAGAAAAATGGTTAGAGTGGCTGACTAAGCCACCAGAATCAGATGGGATCTGGAATTCTGAATGAATCAGCTGACCACTCAACTCACCTCAATCATAATGCCACTTGCTGCTTTGCTTTGCTTTGCTTTGCTTTGCTGCAGGATGATCAGAGCAGCACGAGCTAAGACCTCCCCTGCCTTCCTTTCAAACCCAATAACTTATAAGCGGCTCAACCCAACTCAACCGGCCACGCCAGACAGCGGTGGCAGTCACTGCTGCCATGGCTGAAACAGAAAGCTGGCGGCTTGGATTTGATAAGCCGGTCACTCACTCACTCACTCAGTCAGAACAGAAGCATACTACCCATCCACTGGAGGTTCATGCTCTGGCTGCAAGCGAACCCAGCCACAGCCAGCAATCCAATCAATCCAACAGCCTAATACTGGGCCAAACATAAGATAATTTGACATTTTTTTTGAAAAAACTAGAATGCCATATTTTTAGGAGGACGCATCATCTGTGCAACCTCTGCTGCTATGCCTGTCCACTTGATGCACTATTGCACTACCAGCTGAGAAGAATCTAGCTGCACCAGTGGCCACCACCTCTACTCCACTTGACATACCAGCAACAGTACCCATGATGCTCCATACTTTCCTATCACCACCACCCAGGATATCACAAGCCAATGTTGCCCAGGGGCATCCACATGTATTATGTATGTATACGTACTATAGCACACTCGTCAGAGTATACCTGTACTAGCTACTGCACCATTCTCTAACGCTGCTACAACGCAAAGCAAGATGTCTTCTTCAGCAATAACCTTGTGCTGGCAACAACATAGACAGCAATGGAAGGTTATGCTTGGTGTCCACCGAGATCAAAACACTTGACCACTTCTATGCTGCCCATAAATGTCATCTCGAGGGGTCATACAAACATGGAGGCACCCTCAAGACATCACCATCACAAACCTACTGACATGTGAAAAGGAATAGAATTTTGACATCTTGCAATGCCAATGGCCTTACATGTTCAACCACCCATGCATGGTGAGTTCTCAAATTCAAAAGGATCTGGAAAGTAACACCATACAAAGTATCTGGATGTTTGCCCATCACAGGGCGTAAATTTGGTGAACTAATGGCCAAAACTAGAAAAGTGGTCAAGAGTACAACTGCCTTTACATGGAATTATCATTAGACAAAAGAGGGCAAGAGTTTAATCAAATCGGAAGCATGCTAACATCATATGCTGGAATTAGGATCTACTCAGAAGCAGCGAAAACAGAGGCTCACACATCAGTCATGTTTGGTCTTATTAATTACATTCCTTATATAACAATTTCCTCTAGCTCAGACATAAAAGAGCAATTACCTCCAATAGTAGTTACAAGCAAATAGGGCTTCTTACCTGTTGTCATAATCCCCTCACTATTTAACACAGATTTGCACCATGATAGTGTAAAGGACATCATTTACTCCAAGGCAAGAAACACAGGTAAAAAATTAGTATCTCAGAGCATTGGTTACACGGTGCCATTTATTAATACGATGTATGCATAACAGGTACATCTACATGATTATGCCACACTCCCTATCACTAGTGACATCAAATGGAAGCACGGACGGAAACAATACAGTAGAAATACCCAATAATCTATATACCATAAAACAAGCACATTTGTATAAAAAATCAAAGCAAAGGTGAGATCTAACAAGAGAGATTTACCTCCTCTCCCTCCCCTCCTTGTCTGAATAGTCACTTCAACATACAAAAATCTCACAACAAGCATAGCTAAGACAAGCTTCTGCCGAACTATACGCTATGGTGCCTCGCTAATCAGCTTTCACCGAAGCAGAGGTTTCAGCCGCCGCAGGAGGCGGCGGGCAAACCTTGTGCAACACCTTGCTGTCGGAAGAACAGTGAGATGTCTTTAGCTTCTTGAACTTCCATACAGATGGTATCTTCATCGGCGTCACGCCGTTGCCTGGGGCCTTTGTATCTGCAGGGCCTGCAAGCTTTTCTGTTCCATTCCCATTTGGCTTTGATCTTCCTTTTCCATCTGACTTTGATTCATCAAGCGCAATAGAATGTACAAAGGGTTCTGTTTCTCTGGGCTGTTCTGATTCTTTGGGTTCTTTTGTTTCTTTACTACCACTATTTTGATTCAGGAGCAGCTCCTTTCTCTTGATCTTCACTTTCTGACCGGCACTTAAGTTTCCAACCCAAACTCCATTGTCAGCAATGTCGCCGCTACTCTTTGCGGCGTGTCTGGATGAGTCTGGACCCTCATGATTGAGCAATGGAACAATTCTCTCACTAGATTTCCCCTCAGAGCATCCATTAGGCAACCCACTGCCAGCCTCGATTGGCACATGAATTGAAGAACCATTACAAGCATCAGCGCCACCCTCGCCGTTACCTCCACCAGGGGCAACAACTCCATCTTTGGCATCACCAGCAGTGATGGTGCGAGGCCTCTTGGGCGGTCCAGTGTGAGAGGTCCTCGGCGAGCTATTCATGACGCGGTGCAAATTGCGCGCGACCTCTTCATCCGACTGCTTGCGCCTCCTAGGCTTGGGAGGCTCCCCTGGCCCTAGGGTTCCATTGGGCCTGTACAGCATCTTGACCTGGACATGCTTCTTCCTGGACTTGACCTTGAACTGGAGGCCGTTCCCGTTCCTGGACGCGCCGGCTCCCCTGGAAGAGAAGGAATCGAGGAACTCCATGGCAGCCCGCGCGGCGGCCCTAGCCTTGGCAGCGACGGCGGCCTTCTCCGCGGCCACGGCGCGCGCGGCGACGGCGGCGTCCGCGGCGGCCTGCGCGGCCGCCCTGGCCGCCTCGATCATCTCCTCGGGCGAGGACGCCGACGCGTTGGCGGCGAGCGCCATCTCGCGGAGGCGGGCGGCGAGATCGCCCGCGGAGGCGGGCGGGGACGAGAGCGGCTCGGCGGCGGCGGCGCCGGCGGTGGCCACCGCCGTCCTGAGCCCGGCGAGCAGCCGCTTCCGCGGCGGCAGGTGGGTGTTCAGATCCGACGGCGGCGGCTCCATTTCTGCTCCAGATCGCGGGGCTCAGATCATCTCGCGGAGCCGGGGGACCGGGGCGGGGCGCCGCGAGATCGAGCGCGAGCAGCAACGGGATCAGCTAAATCCGTGCGTCCATCCCCGAACCGGCGGGTGGGCAAGAGAGGCGAGGTCCTAGCACGGGCACGCGGATAAAAATGGCTCCTTTAGCATCGGGGACATGGAAATCTGCGTCTGAATTCCGCGCGAAGGCGGAGCAGGAGTGAGGGGGGAGAGAAACCCTACCTTGGAGGCGCGTGCTGGGCAGAGTTCGGTGCGGAATTGGCGTGGATTTATGTGGTGAGAACAAGAGGAGGCCGGCGTGGACAGCTCCTGTGTTATTATAATTAAAGAGTTAATCTTTTTAGTGTTATTTTTATAATTTTTTTCAAAAACCCAGGGACGGACAGATAGGACACAGTGGAAGGAAACAGATGAGGCTTCACAGGTCACCGCCACAGTTTTATACTTATACTTACCGCTCTCCTATATATCCTATGTAACCGACAAATCCTATGACGCCTCCGCAATTTTTAACACGATTATCACTAATCACTAATTTCTCAAAATATATTTACAAAACAACATATGGGATCACTGTGTATTTGCAATAAAAAATCTACACATATTGTTGAGTACATAAATCTGGGGTCCCTTGCAGACCGGCTTCCCCTCAAGGGCTTAGCCCAAGCAGACAGCGCGCAACTCATGGGCCGGCCCAAGAGTCTAAAACAACATGTTAGAAGAACGGTCCGGTCACCGACCGAAAGGTCTGGCCAAGGAGGAACAACGCCCACTTGTCGACTCCGGCCCACCTCTCCGACCGGAGCGCTCACTTCGGTCTCCAGCCGCCTTCGGACGGTCTCTCCGACCGGAAGGCCTGGCAAAACACTACCTCCGACTTCGACCCCGTGTCTCCGACCGGGGTATACAAAAGACCCTGCTCACCGCTCTTCTCCGACTGGCACGATTAGAGCCGACTGGGACCAACCGACCGGGAACGCCCGCTCGGTAGGGACCAGGAGACGTGCGGAGAAAAGCAAGGCAAGGCGCACAAGTCAAACCATGATACCACGGACCGTACCCTATCATCTGCAGGAACAGTACTCTGCAACCGCCCTGACACAAACAGTATTGTAGGCGCCGACATTTTCCTCTACAGTATTGTGGGCGTCGTTAAAATCCCAAACGGTAAGGCCCCCCACGTGCCTCTGGGCATCAATAGTGTTGTGGGCGCCGGGATTTACCGTACGGGGTGATCCTGATGAAACCCCTCACATGCCTCTGGGCATCAACAGTATATGCAGGTACCGACGTCTGCACACCCGAAGAAGACAACACCACCTCCCACATGCATCTGACACTCAGCAGTAACATCAACAGTGTTGTGGCCGCCTACCATTATCTCGTACCCATCGGCGTGGGTAACAAGGCTCAGTAACATACGTACTCTCTCCCTCTCACTTGTAAAGTCATTCACTTCATCTATAAAAGGGGATGCGCTCCCTCCAAAAGAGGAGGTTAACCCAAGTTGATTCAAGTTCATTCAAGCCCACTTAGATTCATTAGATCAATCAAGTTCACTAGCTCACAACCACATAACCGTCAGGTTCGGACCTCAAGCACACGCTTGAAAACTTAGCTCGTAGCGAAGCTCCTCTTGCTCTCGGCCCTTCCGACTGGAGTCCGACCGGACCTCTTGTACACCCCATCTTTCTCCTTCCCGTTTGTAACCCCACTACAAACTTCGAGCATCTGGGCTCAGGAATAAAGTTACCGACCGACTCAAACTGGACGTAGGGCACGTTGCCTGAACCAGTATAAACCCTATGTCATTGAGTGCTAGGCCACCTCCGATCACAACATACGACAAAACTACAAATATTTACGTGTTGGTCACTTTCTGCACCGACACATATGATTTTCAGGTTCTCAAACCAAATGTTGTTGTGTGGTAATCATCAAAGCTTGATAAAAATGTTATCCCAAACATCAAAGGAGAATATATATAATGAAAAGATCCACTTTTTTGTCACTTGGTTTCTGGCAATTTAACACACACAATGACGTTTTATCCGTGCCACTCATTGATCTTTTAATTTATGACAGTTGGGGTGGTGCTATGACTATTTATACTCGTGAATATATTTCTTCGTCGTATGGCTACTTATGCTCGAATCACTTCTTAGAGAGAACGCCGCTATGTTTGTAATGTGGAGTTTGTAAGGAACTCTTGATAGAACTACCATCTATATATATGAATCACATGCTCTGAAGCTCTAGATTGTTATAGAGCCTCGAACCAGGGTTGTTTTTTTGAGAGGCATAGCACTATGTATCCCTTATAGCTTATAACGAGGTCATGCTTATTTTTTCTCAACATTTCATGTAAGCTAGTGAATGTGCCTGCTACTATGTGTTGTGCAATCGAACAATTATTTCTTCCCTATACAGCGGTGCATAGAGAAATTTGTCATTGGAGGAATGGCTCTCCGTCCACAACCCCGTGGGGACAAAAAATCCGCATTCCTATCCCGATGAAAGTTCATGGGGAGCTTTACTCCCTATATCAGTCGAAAGAATTAGTACTCGCAGAGATCCTAGCCCCCCATCATAGCATGAGTGTATGATAAAATAGACGAAACAAAGTTTACGAAAAAAAACATGCAATAATGGTGTTAATTATCGATCATTTGCTTGCACTAGGTGTAATCGAGAAACCAAACTATTAGATTAAGAATTAATTAAAAAAAGTCTATTATACTTTCATGAAACATCTTTGTAGTCCAATTTTTCTCCTCCAACTTAAAAACCAGACATCTTACTCATATGAACTCTTAAAATTGTCCAAATTACATCTCTGTCATGTTTTGAAGCCATTTTGAAGGCAATTTTGCCCTTTTATTAGTTAACTTTTTAACAAAAAATACCTAATAAGGATTTTAAACCATAGAAAATGTCCATAAACTTCTAAATTTTTCGAGAAAAAACCTAGTACATATATTGGGATACAAAAAAATCCAAATAAAATTTTTAGACCTTATGAAAAATATCTTTAAACACTTCAAAAAAGAGAATTAATTACATAGAATTGAAACAAAATATCCAAAGCATTCTAATTGATGTCTAAACATGTTTTCAAAACCTTTTTCAATAAAGCAACACAACTAGCAAAAATGATAGCATGAATGCATTCAACATTAAAGTAGCATTCATGCTAGTTGAGTCTCATATTTTTTCCCATGTAATTTTTTAAAACATGTTTATACATCAATTAAAACGTTTTGTAATTTTCTAGCTTTTTTGGATAATTTTCTCATTTTCCTAGAGCCAAATCTATTTTTTGTAAAGCTTCTAAAGATACTCTCAGAAGCTTTAAATATTTATTTGGATTTGTCGTATCCCAATTTATCTGTAGGAAAAAGACTTTAAAAACTTAGAGACATTTATGTGATTTAAAGTCTTACCAAATATTTATCAAAATTTTTAACTAGAAAAGGTACAAGACCGCCTTCAGAACCACTTTAAACTATGAACAATTTTAAGAGTCCAAGGGATAAGGTGCCTGTTTCTAGAGTTTGAGAAGAAAAAATTAGACCACTATAGTTCAATCAAAGAGGTATAATGGACTTTACTCCAAAACTAATTAACAGTCTAAGGGGAAATGCGCTTGAAGTCTGAAATTGAAAAGAGTTTTTGGTCGTTGGGCCCATTTCTCACCCACCGGAGGTTGATATAATACTGTCGAAGACCTATTTTAGGTTTAAGTGTCCTTACGAGTCATCTGTTGGAGATCCCGCCGGCGATTGCTCCGGCCACCTGCACAGTAGGATGCGGCGCGGTTATTTCTGGGCCGGAGGGTGGGCCTCGCCTTCGAGTTTTTTTTGTTTTTTTTATTTACTCGCCTTCGAGTTCGAAGATGCGTGACAGTGTGAGTGTGTGTGTTCTTGGGCTGCGTTCGTCCAGCACATGCAAAAAAAGGTCTTCGATCAGTTCATCCAAGATGGCACGCACACTCCTGTTGTCTCCTGGAGATGCTGAATAGGAGGAATGACGTTTCACAGGAACTTTTTTTTGAAACAAAACGTTTCACAGGAACTCAGGCCGCGTTTAGTTGCTGGCCGAAGTTGACGCAACTGGAAAGAGAGGTCACTGTAGCACACTGTAGCATTTTGTTTTTATTTGGTAATAATTGTCCAATCGTTGACTAATTAGGCTCAAAACGTTCGTCTCGCAAAGTACAACCAAACTGTGCAATTAGTTTTTGATTTCGTCAACATTTAGTATTCCATACATGTACCGTAAATTTGATGTGACGGAGAATCTTTTTTTACATAGTGTCAAAGTTAGGAATTTGGTGGAACTAAACATGGCCTCACTCACCATTGGAACTGCGAACCACGGTAGATGATCAACGCGTTCGACTGACACTGTCATGCACGAGAGTGACCGATGCAGACCGATACAGCTTCAGCTCCTGCTCCTCACGGACAGATCGAGCTTCTCTCACAGAGACAGAGGAATGACAGATCGAACAGAGAAGGGACAGAGGAAATAACGAAGCTTTTCATGACAGTGACACAGGACGGTCACTCCCTGGCACTTTAAGAAAGCTGCTAATCTCATCAGCAGCATCACACACACATCTGGCCATCTGGTAGCTATCTCGGCTTCATCATATGAAAACCTCCAGCGCATGCAAAAAGTCTTCGATCAGTTCATCGAAGATAGCACGCTCGATCTTCCTCCCAACAACATAAACATCCTCATGCAGCACCTCCGTCCACACGGATCTCCGGACCTCGTACGCCACCATGCCATCTATCGTCTGCATCTCCTGCGTCTGGGGATGATTCCTCAGAGCTTGCACCTGAAATTCGATCATTTGTAACAAACAAAGCTGCAGTCTTTTTTTTTTTGTGGGTAAAGTTAGAACAAGTAGTTCCTGCATGTACGTTCCAATGGAGATCACTGACCTTCTGCCACACATCATCTACCAGCTTCTTCCCTGGCGCCACTCCCGTGCTGTCAACGACCCATTGACGCAGCGACGACGAGCCGGCCTTCGAGCTCTCTACCACCAAGCTCTGCAACGCCTCGTTAGCGAGGTCGAACAGCATCCTGTGATCATCGTACATGCCGCCGCCGACGATGCAGTCGCCGCGGTAGTAGTACATGTCCTCGACGTCCTCGAAGACGTCGTCGCAGATGGGCATCGGCCTCGCCATCGAGTCCACCCTGGCATTGGCCGACGACGGTCCGTCGTCGTCGTCGTATAAGCCGGAGGCGATGAGAACCTCTGTTATGTAGGCCTTGTCTCGGCTGCACGCTGCTTCGACGGCGGTGATGTCTGTCCTGAATGATGATTCACTGGCAGTGGCAGGTGCCTCGAATTCTGACAGGCATTTTGGACTCAGCTCTGCACGCAGGAGATTATATCAGGTTCAAAAACAGAAACTAATTAGCGAGCAAGATGTAGTAGCATATATAATTGTTTGTGGTTTTGCTACCTTGTAGTCATATATACAGTACCTGGCGGCAAGGTGAAGTGCAAATCGGTGAAGAAATGGCGGGAACTGTGGCCTGCTGCAACCTTCAATGGGGACACTGGGCTCGGAGGCACCTCGCTGAGATTTGCCTAACATAATAGCAGCAAACCCAAAAGCAACAGAATTTAATTTCAGTCAGTCCATCTTCCCTTCCCTTGATGAAACATACAGCATTCATATTACAGTAGCAGCAAGCCAGCAAATAAATAAAGTAAGTAATTTGATGCTGATATTTAACATATGCTTGCCTGTGCAACCTTGAAGAGGCTGAAAGTTTCATGAGACGGAGATGTGACGGGCATCTCCATCTTAGCAGGATGGATCTCTGCAAGAGACGCCTTGTTGGACCAATGCGTCTTCCTCCTGAACGGGAGATTCCTTCTCGAGCTGAAGCTGTGCCTCAGGCTCGACACAGTCCCCCGGATGAAGCTGCTCAAACTAGCACTGACGACGTTCTTGGTTGTCAGTGTCACTGCAGCAGCAGCAGAAGGAGGTTCAGAAGCTCCATGCTTGGTACTCCTCGCACTGCTGCCAATGGCGTCTCCAAACAGCCTGCTGCCAAGGGAGGAGGAGGAGAACCCTGACTCTGGTGCAGAGAACGACCGGAACAGCAGCCGTGGCGGTGACGGCACAGCGTCCTCGTCCTTGTGCTTCGTCAGGGTCAGGTACTCGCTTCTGAAGCTCTGGCCGTCAGTAACGCCGCCGACGCCGGGCCGGAGTACTGAAAGAGATGCATCCGACGTCGTCACCGATTCTTCATGGGCCGGCGACACGGTTTGGCTCTTCGTCAGAATGTAAGCCTCTGGAGATGCATGTGCTGTGGCGGCGTTGCGCTTGCGGTCGCTTCTGAAAGCGCGAAAGGACTCTGACCGGAACAGCCTCCTCTTGTTTTCACGGTCCTCCTTGGTGACCTGCTGCAATGGTGGAATCGCCCAAGTTGGTGCCTTGATGGCCTCACCACCTGTAGCTGTAGTTGTAGCGGCAGTGAGTACTGTGAGCTCTCTCTGAACCCTGTCCTTGACCTCCTGAAGAAGCATGCTCATGTTGGCATCCCTGTGGAGCTTCGGCAGACCAAGCAAGACGGAGGTTTTCTGACCACCACCAATGGCGACACCACCTGTAGTATCAGATTCAGAACAAGTGGCAGGCTTGAGGAGCACTATCGGCGTGTGTCTGTGTGACGGCAGCTCTTGAGCTTGAGCAGCAGGCTCGCCGTGGCAGTGGCCATGTCCATGTCCATCCCTGCGCGCGTCCAGATCTCTGTCGTCAGGCATTGCAGGTGTTTCAGCTGCTGCCGCTGCATGCTCTGACGACGGGTCACCTTCACCTTGCGCCACGCCGCCATTCATCTTCTTGTTCTTGATTAGTGAAAGATCTTCCTGCTGCGTCACGCTGCTGTGAGCCAAACCAAGACCAAGACCATACCTGGCCATCTTCTGCTTGCGCAGGTCCTCCTGCGCGATGGCCTGAAGAACAAGGGACCTGCCGCCGCCGTCCGAGTCCGACGGCCTAGCACCACTCGTCTGCAGCTGCAGCGCCGGCTCCTTGGACGCTTGCCACGCCTGGAGATCCTGCCTCATCTTCTGGAGTAGGTCCTCCTGGGGATGACGCCGCGGCCGGCGCAGGCGCGACGACCTGCTCCGGGATCGGGGCACTATCATCATCTTGTGGAGGCAAATCCTGGAACTGGAACCGGAGTACTCTGCATCGTCGTTCCCGCCGCGGTAGGCGTAGTACGGCTGTCGTTGCGCTTGGAACTGGACGACGCCGCCCGCGACAGGCTTTCTTGGTGCCGGCGGCGATGTCTGGACGGCGGCGTCGTCGATGCCCATGAGACGAGCGATGACGTTCGGCTGGAGGTGGACGACGGGCCGCCGCATGTCGCCGTCCCTGTGGCTGTGGATCATCATCGACTCTTCCGTGGCGGCGCCGGTGTGAAGGAGACGGTTGGTGCTGCTCCCTTTGGGCGGCGGCTTATGGTGGTGGTGGCGGCGGCGGCTCATCATGTGCACGCAATGCAATACGAACAGCAGAGGATTGCTGAAAGGGTGAACAAGATCGAGAGGCAGATAGGAGAGTTGCAGGATGGTGTTGTGCGGAGGAGGTTGATGTCGTCTATGGTACAAGTGCACAAGCAGTCGCGCGCACGAACACTCCTCAACGGACAGACACGCGGTCACACCCAACGACAGAGTGTCAGGACCGGAAGAAAATACAAAACAGGAACAAAAAATTGAAATAGCCCCCGGCGAGGATCGAACTCGCGACCTTTCGCTTACGAAGCGAACGCACTACCACTATGCTACGGAGGCACCGCCTGCCGTTCCTTTTTATTCACCTTATTTGTTTGTTAGCATTATCAGATCCGATCAAAGCTCCACAAGCCCAAAAAGCCATGATCATCTCTCACCGGTGACGGGGTGTGTGTTTTGCTGCTCCTTCCAAGCTAAGGGCGTGTTTAGTTCCGAAAATTTTTGGCTTTTGGCTACTATAGCACTTTCATTTGTATTTGGCAAAAATTGTCCAATTATGGACTATTTAGGCTTAAAAGATTCGTCTCACGATTTCTCGGCCAACTGTGTAATTAGTTTTTTTTTTCGTCTACATTTAGTACTCTATGCATGTGCCGCAAGATTTGATGTGACACTTACTGTACAAAATTTTTTGGTTTTTGGGGTGAACTAAACGGTGCCTAACTTGATGGTTGCAACGTCGAGGAACTGAACTCGAATGTACTACTACTACTACTACTACGTGTTTGCGGTCTGCTGTTCTCGTGAGCAAGGGAGTCTCTAGCTATATTCTCTCACGGCATGCACCAGCTGACTAGCACCATGGCGACGTGACTTTTTGACTCCGAGGAGGCAGGCACAACCCGAACAAGATGCTCATGATGATGCGAGTCGCCAGCAGGAGCAGGGGGCATCACACGTCGCCATCACATTCGTTGCAGAGGAGGTGCAGAGATAACCATTCCAATTCCAGAATTCCGTACCACACTCCTGCTCCTCCTAGCCCTTTCTCCCCATAAAAAAAAACTATTCTTCAATTTTAAGGTTTTTTTTTTCTCAAAATACGCAGGAGAGTTGTTCATCATCCCGTTAAGATAGAAAAAAAAGTACACAAGTTCAGGAGGACCCAAACCCGAATACAATGAATGAACACAGTATTCTAGAAACGTGACACAGAGAATAAGAAAACACGACCAGAGACCACAGGGCCAGCTGGGCATGAGCTCTTGGAACTTTAAAGCCCTTGTTGAACACCACAGACCACCCTCAACCCTCAACGCTCACTCCCCTTTTTATCAAAAAAAAAAAAAAACCGCCCACTATCCTCAACAACCAAACCTAAAAAAAAATATTACTTATAGGCCTTATTCACGTGCTCTTAAATTCGACTTGATTTACTTTTTTTTTTATCCGAAATAGTATTTTTTTCTTATAGATTTTTCAGAATTCCTCCAAACCCTCCCATGCTCAGCTGCTCCTCCTGCAGCTGCTGTAAATAAATTTTTAACACAGGGTGAGGGAGGGCAAGAGGACAGCAGAGGACACTGGCACACTGCCTCCTGCCTGGCCCGGGACCTCCCTAGTCAGTACACTAGTCACTATCATCACAACCCTAGGAGAGCAAGCCTGCAGCGGAGCACGTTGCCCTAAACCATCAATCTCAACGGACACATACTATGCAGCAGTACGTACGACTGCAAATGGTCCCTGCTGCCTCCCCTCTTCTGCCCTCCCCAGTCGCCACAGCTCAAAATTTTACTACTTGGGCCTTGCTGAGTTCCGTAAAATTTGGGAATTTGACTATCGTAGTAATTTCGTTTTTATTTAACAATTAGTGTTCAATTATAGATTAATTAGGCTCAAAATGTTCGTCTTGCGATTTGCTACCAAACTGCACAATTAGTTTTTTTCGTCTACATTTAATGCTCTATGCACGTATCGCAAGATTCGATGTGATTACTATTGTACCACTTTTTGAGAAAACTTTTTGGAACTAAACAAGACTTTAGGGTGTGTTTACTTGGGAGGTAAAACTTTTTGGGTGTCACATCGAATGTGTCGGAAGGATGTCGTGAGGGATTTTTGGATACTAATAAAAAAATAAATTACAGTACCCATCAGAAAACTGTGAGACGAATCTAATGATACTAATTAATCGGTCGTTAGCACATGTGGCACTGTAGCACTTAAGGCTTTTCATGAACTAATTAGGCTTAAAAGATTCGTCTCACGATTTTACCGAGAACTATACAATTAATTTTTTTTCGTCTACATTTAATACTCCATACATATGTCCAAACATGCTCTTTTTCTTGTAGGAGGCAAAAATTTTAGAAAACTAAGCCTGCTTAGTTTCAATTTTTTTTTTCCTCCTACAGTAGTTTTCAAAAAAAAATTCCTCCTGCTCTTTAGACACATGCATGGAATACTAAATGTAGACGAAAAAAAAACTAATTGCACAGTTCTCGACAAAATCGCGAGACGAATCTTTTAAGCCTAATTAGACCCCGTTCGCGTGCCCTTAAACCCGGCTTGATCCGCTTATTTTTTTCATCCGGAATAGTGTTTTACTCTCACAAATTCCTCCAAACCATTCAGATTCCTCCAAAATTCAGACAAGTGAACAAGCCCTTAGTCCATAAAAAAGCCTTAAATGCTACAGTACTACATGTGCTAATGACCGATTAATTAGTATCGTTAGATTCGTCTCGCAGTTTTCTAATAAGTTCTATAATTTATTTTTTTATTAGTATCCAAAACCCTCTTCCAACATCCAAACACATCTGATGACACATAAAACTTTTCATCTCCCAAACTAAACACACACTTACGTAGTCCCATTACCTATCTCAAGCAGTACGCGCCCTCCCACCATGAATGATGAGCATTTTTGTTTTTGAGCTTTAAGATTTGAGGCTTGAGTTGCTTAATCACTTCTCAGCCCCTGCTACCATTTACCATGACGAACATCATTGAAACTATATATGGCAAACGGGCCGGCACGGGCCCGTGCCAGGCACGGCCCGATGATGCACGGCACGACAGGGCCCGACGTGCCTCTGGGCCGTGCCTCCCTGGGCTTCGTGCCTCGCCGATGGCCCAGGCACGGCTTGCCGGGCGACTTTTCGTGCCGGGCCGGCCCGATGAGCCCGGCTTTTTTAGCAGGCCGTGCCGGCCCGAGGCCCACTAAGAGAGTGGGAAGGGGAGGCCGGGAGAGCAGCAGGCAGCTGGCAGCAGGTAGCTCCGCAACCGCGAGCCGCACTGGCGGCGTGGAGGAGGCGGAGGTGGCCGGTGCTTGCGGTGTGGCCGCGCGGGGGCGTGGAGGAGGAGGTGGCCTGCCGACCGGTAGCCACACTCGACGCCACCACGCTTGATGCCGATGCTTGCGGTGTGGCCGAGCGGGTCGTGGAGGAGGCGGTCGCCGCTCGAGGAGATGGGTCGTGATTCGTGAAGGAGGCCGGCTGCCGGCGCGCTCGAAGCCGGAGGCTGCGCGCACGAGCTGCGATCGGACATGCGGAGGGAGCAACGAGCGAGAGCCAAGTGCGGGTGAGGAGTGGGAAGTGCGGCGCCGCGCCGCGCCGATGCGCAAGTCGCGGACTTGCGGTGCACGAGCGCGGCGCATGGGGAGGCCGGGAGGGTGACGGATAGGGTTTTGGGGGAGTGGGAGCGTGGGCCTTTAGCAGGCCAAGGCCAGCAGCGGGCCGACATCGGGCCTCCACTAAATTTCAGGCCGTGCCGTGCCAGCCCATAGGCCGAAGCAGCGGGCCAAGCACGGCCTGCTGCCTCGGGCTAGGCCAACCCGGGCCCGCATGTCACCGGGCCGTGCCGTGCTCGTGTCGGGCTAAAAAAGCGGGCTTCATGCCGTGCTGTCGTGCCTCGGGCTACATGGCAGTATAATTGAAACCAAACGCTCCTTTAACCTAGGCTACCAACGATTTTCGACTACACAGCATGATTTGTTAATTTACAGAGTCTATCAGGTGCAATCATCTATTCAAACCATAACAAAATCTAAACATGCATCTTCTAATCTTAGCATGCAACCATTAGCTCACATCAAATTTAAGCATATTCGACCACCACAGCAAGACTAACCCAACCAAAGACAACCAGGAAAAAGGTCAACCAAACTACCAAAGCAACGCAACCAGTCGAATTTTCCGAAGAGGGCAAGGATGCTACCCAACCACCACCTGCTGTCTAACAGCACGCCAATCATTTTACCCAGCTCCAGTCCATTCCATTCCATTCCATCACAAACATTCAAACTACACTGTGCTCGTGTGCCTCCCAACAACTGGAGTACATGTATTCACCCAAACGGCAATCTGCAATTACACATCAGGCGCACGCAATGCAAAGCAACAGCAGCTCGCAACAGCAAGCGCAGAGCAACAATATAACACAAAAAAGATATCGAACACAATGATTACTTAATCTAACATTACCCAAACTGATATTATCACAATGTTAGCCGATGACGACAATGGAAACAGTAATCTAGGTACAAGCGGGCAATCTGCCAGTGTGGAGCAGCAGCAGACCCACCCGCCGGTGGCGCCAACAAGGAGCGCTATCCGTTATAGCACAACAAAAGTAAAAACATCACGATGTGAAGTGAAACTGAATAATTCTAGTACATGGATATAGGCTCCTTAAATTTTTCGCCACGGGGCCTTGTGTCGCAGCTCCATTGTTGGACAAAGCATGGTCCATTGTCTCATGCGAGGTCCATCACTCGTCATCGTCTTCATCCTGCAAGCAGAGGGACAGAATTTTTAAGCCTCCCTAACTCCAATGGGCAATGGATTTGGTTCCAAACAATGCCTTACATTCCAGAACTGTAATGCAATCTACACAAATGCTATAGAAATATGAACCTTCCTATCTGTTGTATGGGTTGAATCCTATCCAATACACCTACATTCTAGATAAGCTTATGTAGCAACTTGGGTAACACATGAGCACGCTATATGCATTTTTCAGGTGACAGCACATGTAAGCAGATTAGAAGCGCTGACGACGACATGAAAGAAATCAGCATACCTCCTCGCTACCCTCGTCGTCATCCTCATCATTGACCTCCGACTTAGACTTGTCGGACTCCTCTTCGTCTTCCTCCTCTTCCTCCTTGGCAGGAGCCTTCTTAGCAGCAGTGGTGCTCTGAACAAGCTAAGACATGATTCAGTAAGGATAATCTTTACTTATTAGAATAAATGACCAGCAGGAACAGTATCATATACACAAGTAACAAAGCAATTGAAGTATGCAAGTTTCTCTACCTCGCCCTTGTTGTAGGCAGCAATGGCCTTGTTATACTCGAGCTTAAGCTTATTGGCCTTGGCTACATAGGGAGCCTTGTCCTACAATCCACAAACACATGTACGTTACCAATCAGCACAAGCTTTTAGTGGAATCTAACCACTACAACAACTACATTTAAGTAAGGAGGTGTAATGTGTGGAGCAAGCTTCGCTTACCGATTCGCTGAGGGATTTCCACCTGTCGCCGGCAGCTTTTCCCACCTGAAAAGTTCCACCAGGAAAAAGGTGAAAAAACGAGAGAAAAAGGTTAAGTAAACAACGAATCGAGACGATTAAATAAATTAAATAAAGTGGTTAATCGCAGCAAAGTGAAAGTAGATAATATTACTATCGGTCGGTCATAAAGTAGTAGGTTGGTTGATGTGTCGGGGGAACTTACCGCAGCAACAGACTTGTTCTTAGGGTTCTTCTCCTTAAACTCCTTGCGGAATTCCTCCCTGTATACACATCCATCCAAAAACAGATCGAACAACAGTTCCAGAAACAGCAACGAAAAAAATAAAGTGGGGGAGTAAAAAAAGTCGCATCTCACATGAATACAAAGAAAGCGCTGGGAGCCCTCTTGGGCTTGTTGGGGTCCTTGCCGGCCTTCCCCTTCCTGCCCTTGGCGGGCTTCTCCGCTCCCTTACTCTTCACCGCCAGCCTGCAGAAACCAATCGAGCCGCCGACGACGACGACAGAGACAGCGAGGACAACCCAAAAAAGAAAGTCAAAAGCATGTTACGGCGGCGAATAATAATAACAACATAAATCGAATGCTCGGGACACCACGGAACAGATCTACCCGACGAACAACGAAGAAGAAAACCGCGAGATTCGTTTCGTTATTCTTACTTGGCATCGGCCTTGGCGGCGCCCTTGGATCTGGCCCCCTTCATGGCGGATTCGAGCGGCGACACGGAGCGCAGCGGTCAGATCCGCGCGGGGCGGAGCGAATCCCGCTCGCGGCCGGGCGAAGCGGGGACGAATCGAGGGCGAGTTGCCTCTGGCGGCCCGCGGGGATGGGGGAGGGGAAAGGGACGAAGGGAGGCAACGGACGCTGCAGGAAGGGGGAGGGCAGGCGCAGGGGGATAAGAAGGAAGGCGTGGCCCAAGGGCATATATGCGATTCCGCCCGCGCAGCGAGGGCCCGCACCCGCCTCCCAATTTGAATTCCCGTACGCGCCGGGACCTTTCCTCACTCCAACGGCATACGTGGCCCTCACTTTCAAGGGGGGCCAAGAGGTCCCGGGGCCCGGCTGCCATCCGGTGCTCCGCTACGACGGCTAGGGCTGCGGCCGCCCGTACGAGTTGTGGAGAGGGCGTTCTCGTGGTTTCGGGTCACCCCGGGTTGCTCGGCTCAAAAGCGGCGGCGGCAGGGGCTTGGGCGGGATTTCGGAAAATTTGGGCTGGCGGAGGGCCGAACCGCAGGAGGGGAGCGGGTGTGCGTGATCACATGGCTGACGCGCGGGCCCCGCACGGCAGTGGCACGGCGGTAGATATTTTCCCGGCGCGGGCCCACCTGGGGAGGAGGGGGCACCACGTCACCGATCCGCGAGAACGCGCCTGGTTGGCTGGCGTGCGGGGGGGCGCCAGGGCGTGTTTGTGTGTGTGCTTCTTCGCTGTGCTTTCTGTGAGCGCAAACCATCGCTTGGGTTTCCGGTTTCCGCAGCCGACCGTTTGAAAATTTTCCGGTTTCGCGAGAAGAGCATCCGCCGCCGGTGGGGAGCGGGCGGCGCGCGTCCCCGGTGAGCCGCTGGGCGGCGGCGGCGGCTGTGGATGCAGGGCTGCTCTGCAGCTGCCACCGCTCCGCTGCGGCACACGGCGATCGGCTTGTCGCTCCGGCCGGTCCGCCGGAGCAGGTGCGGCGAGGAGCTACGCGGTAAGCATCCGGGCCGGAGCAGGTGCGGCGAGGAGCTACGCGGTAGGCATCCCGCTCCTGCACAAAGGTTAGCCAGCGGCCCTATGCTCTTGCTCCTGTGGATGATCTCAGATCGACTGATTGTTTCCACGGCGAGATAGATTTGTGCTAGGGCGAATTGAATTTCCCACCTCACCCGCCCCGTGCTGTGCGATCATCAGCTTATTCATTTGCCAGGTCCCAGATGGAACGACGCCAACTGATGTAGAGGAAAACATCATCGTTGTGAGGGTGAAACTGAGTATGATTCGGGTACATGGATGGAGAGGACCCTTGTAATTTCGCCACGGACGCTGTTCTGACGAGGCATCATCTTCAGTAATTCGATCACACGTTATCGTCTTCGTCATGCAACAGAACGAAAGGAAGGCCCTATTCTAGCCTCCCTGCTTATTACATTGTGAATCTCAACTTTTATCTCTGATTTGTGGCCACCTATACTGAAAAATTAAGCAAGAGTGTTTACCTGTTGCATTGGCTGATAATATCTGCATTCTACAACCGCTGATAAAAGCAACTAGTTTAACACAGGGTGCCTTTGGATTTTCACAGGAAAAAAAAGCGCAAGAAACAGGGGGCAAATCATGCATTCTGAGGAGGTCAGATGACAGTGTATGTAATACGGAGATTAAAAACTTACAGACGTTATGAAAGACAGATGTATTCTTCGTCGGTCCTCACAAGAAGCGCAAACAACTTGCATTCTGTAGGCGTGGGCAATTGCATTGTGTGATTAGCTTAATTGGAGAGTGCTATGGTATTGATCACTCTTTACCTACAAAGGTGTTTTAAGCCACATGCAGAAAAAAGGAGAAGAAGAGAGAACCGCTCTAGTTTTGCATGACAAGAGCAATGGCCAATTTGGAACGAAGTTGTTTCGATGGTCATGGTATAGTTAGTCCTTTATGTACAGAAAGGGCAATGTTTTTAGCATAGAAGATACTCTCATTTCTTGTGTGAACAAAAGGTTTGCTAAAGAGTGGTGTTCTTAGGAAAAACAAGCATCTTTCAAAAGTCAACAGAAATCCAAAGAGCCCAAAGCGGTCCATGGGTCGAAGATGTCCCATTTTTCCATGGTCATGGTATAGTGACTACAGTCGTCCTTACATGCAAAAGGGGCAATAACATTAGTAAGACATGCCAAAGAAAAAGAAGATAGTCCAATCATTGTGAAAAAGGAACGATCTCCAACATGTGCTCGGGGTTTGGATATGTAAATTTTTTACAAAGGAAAACCAAGTTATTGGTGACTCTACCCTGCTCTTGAAAACTAAGGCCCTTTTGGAACACAAAAACTGTATAGGATCTCCAGGGATTAATTCGGTTTTAAAGGGAAAATGTAGAATTAGGGTAAATTTCCTGTGTTCCAAACATACCTAAATTCTGTAAAATGTTATGTTGTGTCCATGCAAATAGCTATAGCAATATGCAATAACCTTACTGCACACTTTTTGCAAAAAAAAAAAAAAAACTGTACAAACTAAATCGTGTATATTTGAATCCATTGTGATTGTATTGCTAGTGTTGTGGGTTACATAAACTGGAGGTCCTTTTTGATTCGAGCAACAGGAAGACAAATGTGCCCCACAAGGACAAGAGTGGTTTTATATAATTGCTAAAGGGAGGGTTGCCAACTGCTTCACTTCAAAGAGCCTCAACTCAATTATTGTCAGTGTGTTGGAACGGATTAGAAAAGCCCTAAGGCATGTATAATGGTACAAGTAGCAAATTATAGACCAATGATGAATAATATATAATTACCTGTACAATCATAATGAAGTAGCAAACCATCTTCTTTACAGCGAATAAAACATAGTTGGATTATAATCCTTTATCCACGTCTTAGAAAATCTCACACTGCTCTACACAAGTCCCCAGGTCCTTGCAGAACTGGAACCCATTTGCAGGGAGGGATTGATTTGGCCCAAGATTTCACCGGAAAACATCCATTTTGGGCTCGGTTTTGAGCAGTGGCGGGCCCAGGATTTGAAACCGAGGTAGTCCTAGTCAAAAAATTTCATGTGCAACACGATAAATTTCAAAAAAAAAGTTCGATAAAATAGCTATAAATTAACCAAATTGAGATAATACAATTGAAAGGTTCAAAACTTATATAAATAGATCCGAAACTTGCACAAACAGATTATACATAAGATAAGGTCTTACATAAATAAGAGATTACAATACAAGTTCTAGTTCAAGACTTTTGCTTTACGCTTTCCATGAAAGCATTAACTATGCCATCCTCGCTTACCGTGGAGAATATATCACACTTAATAAAGATAACCAAACAATCATTCAATAACCTGTCACTGGTACTATTTCTCACCTTATCCTTCACTAAACACAATGCAGAGCTTCAAAGCCTCTTCTACGTTTTTTTTTTGAGCAAAAAGCATCTTCTACGTTCTGCAACAGCCATGACGGCGTTGTGGCTCTGAGTTGAAAAGCGCGAACATGAGCCCGGGAACTGAAAAGGGCGCCGTATCAGGAGATGGGCTGATTCCTGCGGCAGGCGGCCCAGTCCCTCAGATCGATTCAAAGCGGAGCTGCTGAACGTCCAACCGACGGTGGACTTGAAGCGACCCCGAAGGCCTGAACAGATGGGGGGAGCTTGGCCCAAAGGAGCGGGCGGGACCTCTAACCGGCCGAAGCCCAGGACGGAAGGAACAGACGGGAGATACCTGATGCTCGCTAACGTGGGCTTCTTTCAGTTTTATACTGGGCCAGACTTTCTATAGGCTAAAAGATTAAAAATACTGAGTACTAAATAAACTTTGGGCCAGATTTTAGGGTAGTCCTGGGCCTACCTGGACTACCCTTTGGGCCCGCCACTGGTTTTGAGGTTGGAACACCCGGAACAAATTCCACTGTCAGATTGGAACCGAAGACCGAAGACCGAAGACCATTACAACAAGCGCGTGCAACACCCCTGCGGCCCAGACCCAACCCACCCAAGACAAAGAGCTGAGGCCCAGTAGCCCACGTCCTCCACCGTTCCGACTACTTCCTCGCTCACCTTGGAGCGGCGGCGCGCACCTTGGAGCGTCCATGTCCCGGTGAGCCGCCCCTGCCCGACAGCCCCTCCCGCGCCTAGCCGCCGCGGCCGTCCGCTGCAGCAGACCGCGCAGGCTCCGCGCCTCACGGCCTTGCCCCGCTCCAGACTGGCGGCCCCTGCGACCCTGCCCAACGGCGCCGTTCCTCCAGGGCAACCCCTGCGGCAGCGGCAGCAGGTGCAGCAAGCAGCTACACGGCCTGCCGCTTGCTTGTGCACAAGGTGAGCCGGTCTCTGCTCTACTCTCTCTCTCCTGTTTCCCCTTTCGTCCATGTCGTAGATGCCATGCCCGTAGATTTGTGGATTACGGATTTCCATCAAATCTCATGTCGTGTGCCATCAGCTCATGGATTTGCCAGGTCCCAGATGGAAGAAGGGCAAGGACGGCAAGGACTTTGCAGCACTCGCAGCAGCCAATCCCATGTCGACCATAGTCGCCGAGCTCCAGGCTAAACTGAGGGACTCAGAAGCCGTGGCGACTCTAGCCGTGCACACCAGGGACGCGATTCTCGAGGTCGGCAAAGACCAAGCCAAGCTTCTGAACTGCGCCTCCTTTGGCGCCTTGGAAAGCGCAGGCACAGAGAAGCAGTGGTTCCAGCTGGGCCCCGAGGAGGTGTTCTTCCTTTGCCATGCCCTGAAGTGCGTCGCGGTTGAGTCGGAGAACCGCGCGCGGGTGGGTGCGCCGGAGCTGTGGGATCTCTTGGCCTCCACCTCGGAGCAATTCCCGGAGATGTACAGGGCGTATGAACATCTTAGGCTGAAGAACTGGGTTGTGAAGTCGGGGTTGCAGTACGGGGCGCACTTTGTAGCTTACCGTCATCATCCGGCACTTGTGCACTCGGGTTTGCGGTGATTGTGGTTCCAGAAAGGAAAGCATTGGGCACTAGGTGTGACCGCATGCAGGACTGGTCTGAATTACTCTCTGCGCTCCGGGCCTCTGGAAGTGTGGCCAAGACGTTACTTGTTCTGACCATCAGCACTGAGAGCTCTGAGCTGGGATCCATGGATTGTTTGGAACAGATGATTGTTCATGAGAGGACGATCACGAGATGGATACCACAGCAGTGCCGTGAGCGCAGAGAAGAAACCAACAGGAATGAGCAAAGACAAAAATCCTGCAGAGAAGTATCCAACGAAGAACAAGAGCATACATTTCGGGGTGTAGTGTTTAGCTATTGGGGTGTAGTGCTAAGCTTTACAGTTCTTTCTAGCTTACTTGTCTACAAGCTGAAATTTTGACTGAAGAGCTTCGTATTTATGTATACTCATGTTGATGAACGTGAATAATGCAATTCTATGATGGTAATTTGTTGTTTCTCATTGAGGTTTCTACATATCTTGGATAACATCATCACAGACCCCACTTGACTGCAGACTGCACAAGAACATTTGTATCGTTGTTTCTTGTTAATCCTTTTTAGGCTATCACTTTTCAAGACTGCTTTGGACCGGCAATTATGTAGTCTGGAGGACTAGAGAACTTACTATCTGCATGACCGACACCACTGGAGGTCTGGAGCATATTGACCAAATCAGGTACACCAGATGCATTTCTTTACGCATATGCGCATTGTTTTTTGTGATGTGTTGATGCATTCTATAATTTCAGTAGCTTAAACGTATCATAATCTTATGGTAAATTTATGTTAGTGAATTAACCTTTAATACAACAGAACTCAACATACAATAGCTTGCTAAGATTTCTGGAGTAAACATGTCCAAGAAGTACTGTAGCTACGTTGCTTTAGTCCCACATCGGAACAAGAGGAGGTGGCGAACCAGCTTAAAAGCCCGAGCCTGGGAGGAAATTAACTCCGGTTTGAATCTTTTGCGCGAAGCGAGGACGAAAACGCAAGAGAGTTAATTAATAGGTGTGGTCCATTCAACGTGTAGAGTGGATCTTGACCGTCTTCCCGGGCTGGGGCGTTACAAGCTGTCGCACTGAGTCACCAGGTCACGGGTTCGAAGTAGCCTCTCCGCAGATTTTGCGGGGGAAGGCTTGCCTCGGTTTTTTCCTTCTCCAAACCCCACTCATGTGGGAGCCTCCGGCACTGGATCTTCCAACCCCCCTTATATTTAAACTTAAACTTCTGCTTGACATTTTATCGTCAAGTGACAAATCTGCTCACAGTAAATAATGTAATTGGCATCATGATGGGATCTTAGATAGTCGTGAAGGTGACTAGGGATTAGGGAAAGAATAAAATTCACAATTGTGTCTGCTTCATATCTCTATTTATTTGAGGTTGCCAGCTTTTCCTGTGCAATGCCTACTACTCTATCTGGTAATTCACTGTGTGGTCCTTCCATATACCACTCTCCAGGTACTTCTCGTACAAGCTAGCTTCACCATCATAGTGCACTGATAAAACGGCTGTGCTCCGTGTCCCGTAGAGCCCCTTCACCAAAACAGAATTCATAAGTTCATTTCTGTAGTATTAGCCTATGCTTATGTACACAGACATTTATAAGTGGCCAGATGATATAGTTTTTCAACTAGCTGAACCCTGAATCAAGAGATTTTTTTCTCACTTGGTCAGTTTGCACCTCGATGAAGATGGAGCTCAGACCATGCTCCCAGTTGGGATCACAACCAGTGTTTGGCAGTCTATCTTTGTCAGCCTTTGTGGTGTCAGTCATTAGCCTCTCAACTATACCCTTCACTTCAATCTCATCGTCACCATGCTCCCTAAGAAGCTCCCTGAAGTTTTTACCGAGGCGAATTGCCTACAAGTGCATAAACAACAATTAAAAAAAATCCCTTTGGGTACCTTCACACTGTCTTCATGAATAACGGTCTTGGTAGGGATGAATGGTCCCTGAGAGATAGGGTAGGTTGCAATAATGCATTGTCATATTATCTTACTTCTTGCACATGCTGTGCTATAAATTGAGTTAAATGCAATGTTGCTTATTACTAGGGAAGTACTTTAGATGGTTCACCTGTAGCTTTCTCATGCTTTTCGCAGCTCAATGTTTTCTCTGTGATCCATAATTTAGTGCAGCTAAAAATGAAATAATTAACATGACACCTCATTGGCGTTCGGCATTTCTAGTTTTGTACCTACCAATATATGGTTACCCACTATACCAAATAAAATCGTCCTGTTCATTTTTATTTGCAAGGCATTTTGAGATTTTTAGCTATCTACAAATCTTGTTGAACATGAAAGTGCTCTGCTTACCTTCTGCCAAGGGCTATCTAGCCTTGCATTGGACAGCACATGGAGTCCTGGTGAGACGAGTTGAATTGTTGCAGGTTGCCCCTTAGGCCGGTTTGACGCATAGACCATGATATTTGTTGTTAGATCAGCTAGTATGAGGTTGAACCCATTGTATTCATGAGCTTCTTCTGCCACTTCAGTTGCAACTTCGAGTGGGCTCTTGTTGCTCTGCACGGTACAGACTGGATTATGCTTGCTATTCAGAAACAATGTTACATCGAAGATAATTTCATGTTGATTAGGAGTGGTTGATTAATCGTAGGTTCTTACAATGAACCACTAAATTGTTTTCAATGGTAATTTTTTTTTTTGGTTTATAATGGGAATGCGGTGTGAATATATGTTCCTTTGTGCGCCGTCTAGTGTCTACACCAATCACTGTCAAAACGAAGGAATTGTCAGAGTGACCGAATCAGCTGCTAAGGAATGATAGCGACAACAAAAGTATGATGGAAAACACCAACTTGGGTTGTACAAGAAATGAATCTATCTTTCTCGGTATTACCTCAGCTTTCGGGTAAAGACTCAACGAACTTGAATGATCTAGTGGAAGATTTTGATTTGTTTTGCTATATATACCTGCAGGAACCTGAGAGGCAGATCTCCCCTAGTCCGTGCACCGGGCATGGCATCTGGTTCAAGCACATTCGTCAGGAAGGCAAGCCTGCCATCCTTGGTGCAACCCATCCATGTTCCTCCACCAAGCACATCCCTGCCGCCAAGAATCTTCTTTGAGCCTTCTCCCCACCATCCTACTGCTTTTGTAGGCCTGCATCAGTTCATCAAGAAAAAGATACGAAGTGATAAAACGGCTAGCATTGTTGTTTTGCAGTGGGTAACCTTTCTATAGCCTATAGATTTCTCTAGCAGCATTTTGCTTCTGAGAAAAGATATGAGCATGCACGTTAGTATATGAACAGTAGCATCTCATATGTCAGTGGGGTTCATGAAAATTCTGTCAGTGAACGTATAGCTTAGGAGGGAAAAAGTACCCAGTTTTCAAAATAGTACCTCATATGGCAGAGCTATTACTTGCAGATTGGGGTCCTACAGAGATCAATAAAACCAAGCAAGATCACGCACCTGCAGTGGAACTCATCTCTGTTGAGAATCAGGAGGAGTTGGTGCACAGGGTGAGCCTGCCAAATCCATGCAGCAATGCACATGGCTTCAGGTGGTTTCTACTCCTTGGTTGGTTGTAAGTAACTCGCTTGTTTTGCTACTATCTTAGCTGATGGTTTTGACTTGCGCACGCCTTTGTATTTATAGGGAGAAGGTTGGAAGGAGAGCAAAAGCACAAGGAGCCCACAGAGTCTTTGCATTATTGGCTGCAACCAGGTGCTCTGCAGTCTGTCATTCTTCTGCCAGAGTTCCATCATGTTCACGGCGTGTTTACTTCCTATCCAAATTTCTAAAAAAGTGCTACAGTAACCACACATCGAATCTTACGATATGTGCATGGAGCATTAAATGTAGACGAAAAAAAAACTAATTGCACAATTTGGTTGGAAATTACGAGACGAACGTTTTAAGCCTAATTAGTTTATGATTGAACACTAATTGTTAAATAAAAATGAAAGTGCTACAGTAGCCCAAATTCTCAAATTCAGGAAACTAAACACGTGCTCAGTTACCAGGTTATATTACTTCGCATGTGAGTTCCTGATTAGGGTCCCCTTCCCTTACCACCGACGTCCTGTATAGTCCATTGTGCTTCGTTTGGCTGATAAGTCATAGCTAAAAGTACTGTTGGCTAATTTGTTGTGAGAGAAAAATATTGTTCGTTAGGTGAAAAAGTACGGCTTATAAGTCAAGCGAACAGGGCATATATAAAAGGGGCGTACCAAGTGCAGAGAGCTCCAGCTCTGTGCGGGATCTGGAGAAGGGTGTCAGTGGCAAGTCTTACCTTCGCCTGTGCAATGCGAGGAGACAACGACTCGAACCCGGGACCTTTCGGTCATAGGCGGTAAGACTCTACCGCTTGCACCAGGCCTGCCCTTTATAGTCTATATCTGGCAAAATATTTAGTACTCCATCTCAGGATAGGTTTGGTTTGGTCCATCATTTGGAACGGGCTCTCCTACTGTTGACACTGATTATGTGGATTAGTGCGTCCTTAGTGCTCAGGAATGCAAAAAACTTCTACCAGCAGGGAAAACAGGAGGCAGCACTCTGTTCTGACTGGAGTGGTGTTGGTTTTGCAGGCCCCGGGAAACTCAGTCATATCTGAACAAAACCAAGGCGTGCTGGATTGGGATAAACAAAAGCGGTAAGCAACGACCTGATCTTTCGAAGAAATATATGACCCCTGTTTCTGTGTGTATGACCAGAATTCAGAAGGGGCCAGTACTGAATCCACCAATCTGTTTCTCGTGGGTAGTTGGCTCTTGGCTGTGGTGGTTCACACGTGTTGAGCTAAAAGAACAGCATGCCCTGGCCTGGACGGCGGTTTTCAGGCACTCGTCATCTACTTTATCTGTTTCCAAGTACGATGTCCTTTCTTGTTGCAATACATATCTGATCTTTTCCGCTCATGTTTATCCTGTCTTGTGATGGATGTGCTCCCAATTTATAAATATCAGTGTCGTGTGAGGATTCTTCTCTTAGCCGCAAGTTTTTCTGTTGATAATATATACTGTTTATATAGAATAGAATTAAATAACTTGTTGGTGCCGTCGTGGTACGGACACACACATATCAGGTCATATACTGTTTAAAAAGGTTGCAATGCATTCGTACCTCTTAGAGTTTCCATGGATTGGATGCTATACCATCTAAAGCTCTTAAAGATTATTTGTTACCATTATTTTTTTTAATGCCTCAACTCTTAAGTACAAATTGTAGTATCTGAACGTACACACTAATTCACACCACCACACGCACACAAACTCACACACACCTACACTAGTGTGCACGCTAGACCTATACACGAAGAGGCTACACGTGGCTGAGAGATATCCGAAGTCCACCAGGCTTCGCACGTGACGGGCACGTCACCCTGACCATTGTAGCACATCCACACATGAGGCTGTAGATACACAGTACCTACAAATTTATTTGACGGGAAAAACACCGTGGCTGCGAGACCGGAAATTCTGAGCACCTGGCCACTTGCCACTTGAGCTAGGCTTGGTCCGTTGTTGCCATTATGATTTAAAAATAAACTTGATGGCCAACAGCAAAGTATATAGATATATCATGTGAACCTTTGCAGAAAGTCAGGATATTTAGTTGGACCTTTTCAAGGGAGGCACTGGTCCTGCATTTGGTATTGGGTAAGTTGTTGACTCCCATGTCACTTATTTGGTTTAGATGGAGAATAGTCATCTGGTACTTGATGGTTAGATATTTAGTGTAACTCTCATACAGTGGTTGACTCCCATCTCATTTAGGGCGCGTTTAGACGGCGAATTTTTTTAGTTTTGGCTATTGTAGCATATTCGTTTGTATTTGGTAATTATTGTCTAATTATGGACTAATTAGGTTTGAAAGTTTCGTATCGCGATTTCTCACACCAACTGTACAATTAGTTTTGTTTTTTTGTCTACATTTAGTACTCCATGCATGCACCGCAAGATTCGATGTGACACTTTAGGGTGAATTTTTTTTGGAACTAAACATGGCCTTATTTGGTTTAGATGGAGAATAGTCATCTGGCACTTGGTGGTTAGATATTTAGTGTAAACTCTCATACAATGGTTGTCCATCATTTTTCTTTTTCAGTATGTAAGAAGTAGCTGGACCATCTTCTAGAGATTTTTCATCAATTATTACAATTCTAATAAGTTACTTGTTACAACTAACTGTTCTGGAAAAAAAATGTGTCAGAAACTAGCAGCAACTTAGTTTGGTGGTTTTCTAGTTTTGAGAATGAAGCTTGTCGTTGTAAAAAAGAATAAGGATGGAAGTAGCTAAACAAGTTTTGTAGTTTTGAGAATGAAGCTTGTCATTGTAAAAAAGAAGAAGGAAAGGATGGAAGTAGCTAAACATTTATTGTTGGTCAGCAAAATTAGAAGGACAATAACACAAGTGCTCATAGGTTGGGGGTCACTACAACCTACCATGTCGGCACCCAATAACACCATGCCCAGTGATGCACGCTACCACTTTGCCGATAACCAACGGCGGCATGCCTCGCCAACCAGCCATGTACCTTGGAGTGATTGCTGCCATAATGGTCTTAGCATGCATGAGTGCGTCTCTTATACCTTAGTATTTCTACCGGTACAGTAATACTGCGGATTTCGACGAATGAAATGAAAGTGCCGCAAACCAATTCCATGGAAGCAGACTGTTCATTGCTGCATTCTGCCTCTGCTCTAAAGCCACAAAAAAGTGGGTGACGGAGAGGCTTGCATCCGGAAGCACTCAACAGTAGTATAGTGTTATCCATGCACTTGAAATCGTGGCTTCTGGAAAGGGACATTTGGGCCTTGTCTCTCGGAGAGTACAGTGCACTGTGATAAGTACATGCCGAGTCACTATGGAATATATAGTACTTAGGATAACTATAGAAGTTAGATTTAATTTGGGTCTAGAAGTTGATTTAATTTGGGACAAAGGGAGCATATACTACTCTCTAACTCTCACATATGTATATGTACCAGAGTTTTCTTCTTCCCTTGAGGTGAGCCAACTAAATAAATATTTCCCTTTTGAGACCATTATCAAATCTGTATTCTAAGGCCTCATTCATTTGATGCAAAACTTGGTTTGCCAGCTGAAAAAACACTGCTCGGCTGAATTATTGTGTGAGAGAAAAACACTGTTCCTACCAAAAAAAGAAGCCGAACAAGCCAAATATGGGTAAGCGAATAGGGCCTAATTGTATATACATGTGTACGCTAATACTTTGGTGAGGACGTCCATATGGGCGTGTCCAATCTGAACGCCAGTTCCGGGCTTGCGTGGCGACCGGCCCAATGTACCAACGAGCCCTGCTCCATCTACGCTCTCTCCTCTATCTCTACACTACGACAGCTGAGAAATTCTCAACTCCCGACTCGCTTCGCTCGTCGTGGCTCACTGCACCATCCGCCCGCCCCAAGCCCCAAGCCGCTTCGCCGTCGCGCGGCGCCCCATCCCGCGTCGCGCCACGCCATGCCCCGTCCCTGCCCTTGCGCGCCGTGCCCCATCCCCCACCGCTGTGCGCCGTGTTCCATCCCCCGCCGCGTCGAGTTGCTTCCGGCGCCACCGTTTCCCTGGCCGATGGAGGAGCTTTGTGCGACGCCATCCCACTGGCGAGTTGCCCACGTCGCTGTCGCACCAGCAAACTCCATGCACCGCCGACGACCTCCGTGTCAACATTGAGCTCCGCAACGACGAGCCTCCATTCCTCGAAGCTGTAAGGTGACACTACGCTGAAAACACATGTTGCAAGAGTATGAAGTGTTTCATATGGATGTTGCATGTGTTTTATCTAGATGTTGCAAAAGTAAATCGAAATATTACACATGTTGCAATAGCTATACACGTATGTTGCAAGTGTATATTCCAAATATTTCATCTGTTTTTTCAGATGTATGTTGCAAGTGTGTTTATTTGGATGTTGCATATGTTGCACATATATGTTGCAAGTGTTTTATCTAGATGTTGCATATGTTTTGCAATGGTTTTTCATGTGCTTTCAGGTGTTTTTGCAAGTGTTTCAGATGCATGTTTTAAGTGTTTCAGAAGCATGTTTCAAGTGTTTAATCTGTCTACAGACATATGCTGCAAATGTTTTATCTGGATGTTTCAAAAGTAGATTGGGTGTTGCACATATCGCAATGACGCCGGTGGCTGGCGGATAGCGGCCTGCCACAAGGCTTCGGCTCCTACCTCGTGCGACGCGCCTCGCCCTTTCCCTCCCCTCCCTTCCCTTCCCACCATCTCGCCTCGGCGTTGGCGTTGGGGTGAGGGTGAGGGTCGTCGAGGGTGCTGCTTTTAGACGCAGGCGCTGGCATGGGATGGGATGGGGGAGCAGGGTCCGGATGAGTCGTGCGGCCGGACGTCCGCGCGCAAATATATTTATATGCGCGTGCTATAATAGGCCTCTTTGCAACAATCCTATTCGGCCCATGACTTTGGCAAGAAAAATGGGCCGTGTTTACATGGGCTTTCTTCTTAAGTTGGGTCAGTCAGGCTTTCATCTAGGAATTCCTTTCATCTATCAGCCTCTTTCCTT